GCAGCCCCTAGCTTTCAGTTTTTGGTGATGCGCCCTTTTTTTAGCCAATCAACTTTAGCTGCTTTTTTGTTTCAGAGCTAGGGGTGCCTTGCATCAACGGAACGCTAATCGACAGTCAAACACCTGAATTGCCGGTGCCGGCACGTCGAAGACTCGTAGAAGAGCCAGGCCACGCCGCCATGGCAGACACTGAGAAGCTCAGCTTTCAGGAACTTCTGTCCAAGTTGGCAGCCGCACACGATCGAGAGGTTGCAAGCGCCAAGGAGGCATGGCCGCAATATCTTAACCCGCCGGAAATCAAGCACAGAAAAACCAGCCATATTACTCTAGCCAAGCAGCATTAGCCTGAATTTGCACCCTTCATCTCATGTTGACTTGGTGGCCAGGGGGCTGGATCCAAAACTTTTCATTCATGTCTTTAAGCATGGCTGCCACCCTCACGCGTATGTAGCTAAGGAAGGCGGCGAGGAGGCGCACTGAGCAGCGCAGATGATGTTAGGCCTTCTGCATACGAATTTTCGTGCTGGCCAGGAGAAGAGGAAGCTCAAAGGAGAAATAGAGGACCTGTTGGAAGTCAGGGTATCTTTTCATGGGAATTCAGGATGGGTTCGGCTGCGTAGCCATGTCTGCCAGGAGCTAAGACTGAGACAAGCAGAAGGCTCCCCAAGGAGTGAGGTACTGAAAGAGAAGTCAGAGCCTGACGAGACAGAGACAGCGCCACTCTGACAGCAAATGATGGTGAGTGGTGAGTAGTGATGAGTTGTTTTTAATCTCATTTGCTGCACTTTGATCTTGCTGTCTTTTCCCGAATTCGGTCTGCTTCATTCTTGCCTGAGGCTTATTCAGGTGAAGCCAGCATCCAAAGGACATTTGCAAATCCCTTACGTGAGGTTCGAAAGCTGTGCAGCTGTCATAAGCCTGCCCGACGCCAGGATCCGGCGGAATCCTGAAGCAGCCCCGAAACAGTCAATCTTCATTGGCTTCTGGGGGAAGGCTTGCTTTTGCTGGGAGAACATGGCGCTTTTGCCGGCCTCTTGCATTCTGCAGGTCGCCAATGCGACTGTCTTTAAAACAGAATGAATCAGACCAGGACAGGGTGTGTGCTTTCCTTGGGACTTGCTGGTTGTCACACGTCTCGACCTACGTCACACAATGTCACGCATCGTTGGCTTCAGGATATGTTCAGGCATACAAAGGTACGCTTTCAAGTCATGTCAAAGCCCGGGCATCCTGCTCATGCAGGAGTCCAAAGAGGAAGTGGGTACCACGCCCAGCCCAAGAGCATCTGGCTCCGGTCCATCCTTGCCGCTAGTTCCACCAAGCCCCAGTGGCCCGAAAGTATCCTTTGGCAACTTGCTGCCCTCCATGTCCTCCAGCTCAAACAGCAGCTTGCTGGCAAGCAAAAGATGATACCGCCCTGCTTTGCAGGGAGTGATCTGACCTTTCAACTGAGGTGCAAGCAACAAGCGTGTGCTGCCATGGCCTCCACCTGCCAATGCTCGCAGGAATAGTGCCATGTTGGGCTTAACCGGGGGATTATCGCTAGGAGGCGCGCTCGGAGGCGGCGGAGGCTCCGGCATGAGTCCGGCAAAGTTGGCCGCAGCGCGACGCCAGAGCACGGCTATGGGGGCGCTGAACGGCCGGAGAGGCCCAGGGTTGTGCAGCTTGTGCGTTCTATTTGCCTGATTCTGATCATAGACCGAGATGCCCTCAAAGGAGTAGAGAAAGCAATATTTTTCGCATCGACATCGAGCTCCCGCGTGAGTGTTCTCAGAGTTTGTCTTGAAATCGAGCTCTCGCGGAGCGTCTTCGCATTTTTTCCTGGAAAACCTCTTGTGTGAAGCATCCTCACATTTTACTGCTTGGCTTTGGGCCTTGCTGGTTTTTGGGTTTTTGGTCGACTTTTCGGGTTTTCTGGCTTCTTGGCTTTCTTGGCTTCTTGGCTCCCCTGGCTTGCTGAGTGCTGAACCTTGCTGATCTTCTGGCTTATCTAGCCGACCTTCCTAGCTTCCTTGCCTTTGGCTTCCCGAAAATGTTTTTGATTGGGTTTTGACACTGGACAAAATTGCCCTTTGCATCATGTAAATACAAAGATTACTGCGGCGTCCTTGCATGTGCTTCGAAACCGAGCTCGAGTGCATATGTAGCCCCTGTATGCCCCTATATAATTCCTGTATCCTCTCTAACGGAACCCTAAGACCTAAACCCCTATATAGTTTGCAACGGGACCGCTACGTCAGTTGCAGAAACTTCCATTTTGATAGTTTCCATAAATAGGGGAACCCTAATACAGACCCCCAAATACTATAATCCTTATTCATTACAGGAACCCCATAAAAGGGTACAACTAATTTTCGAAAGCCCTAAACCCTAAACCCCATATACCGGTATATTTCTATGCCTCTATATAGCCCCTTATAACCCCCTTTAAAGGGAACCCCTATATACCCCTATATAACCCCCTAGAACCCATTTGAAAGGTACCCCCCACTTCCATATGAGCGCCTGCCAGGCACCACAGTCGGCTTGGGTGGCCTGACCCTGGGCCAGGCTGGACACCATGTGAGCTATAGTCTAAACTCATTAAAGGGGGCTACATGAGGGATTAAGGGGTTATATAGGGTTCTATAGGGATTATACAGGGGTCATTAATATAGGGATCATGAAGGGTATACAGGGATTATCTATAGGGATATATAGGGACGTACAGTGTTAAGGGTCTAAACTCCTTAAAGGTGGAGTATGTTGGGGGCTATATAGGGTAGTATTATAGAGGTTATTCAGGGGATATAGGAGTTTAGACAATGGCTCATTTAGGGTTTCGGTCTTGGGGTTAAATAAGTATAAACGCTATCGCGCGCCCGCGTCGGCTGGCGGGGCACGGAGCACACGAATAGGTCATGGTATGTAGTACACACGTGGGGTTTAGGGTCGAGGGAGTAACGGAGGCAAGCCTCACCTCAGACGTGTTTGTTGCATGCCTGTTCCAGCATTCAGGCAGGGGGTTGGCTGGGCTTAGTCCATCAGCCTCTAGTGAGGGAGTTCGCAAGCTTCGAGAGCCGCAACCGTAGAACCGGCCTCAAGGAGCAGGTCTGCGTTTCAGGGTCGGAAACTGTATGTCCCCAAGTTCAATTCGCTCTGAATTTGACCTGACCATAGACAAGCCAGAAGGTAGACCCGCCACGTAGAGAATCCTTAATATACAGCATCTCATGTCTCCTTCACATCATCCACATGGCGGGTGAGAAGAGCTATCTGCTTGGGAGTTGGGAGGTTTCGCTTGCACTCCTAAACCTTAGTAAGCCGACTGTCCTGCCATGGTTGGGGGGAGGGGAGGGGGGGGGGTGGGGGAGGCATTGGAGGGGCGGGTGGCAGGCAGGGAGGTGGTCTCCAAGCGGAGTAGAGGGAAGGGTTCCAAACGTCCTGAGGCTGGATAGCCTTGGCGAATTGATTGGGGATGTATGGGGTTTGTAAAGGGGTTGTACAGTTGCATAAGGGGTCACTTGGTAGTAGGGCAAATAGGGTTTAGCATGTAGGAATGCGCGGTCAAGCAGAACAATTAAAGGACCGGATAGCCCGACATGTGTATGTAGCCTTAGCCTGATTCTAAAAACAAAGTAACAGAGTGAAGAAGAAGAAGAAGTGCTTAGAGAAAAGGCAAAAGAAAAGATGGCGATCGGGCGGTGAATCAAAGTGTGAGTTGTGGGTCTAGAAGAGGAGTTGAAAGGGCGGAGATGTTGGCGGGATGGTCTAGAAGAGGAATTAAGGGGGCGGAGATGTTGGCGGGAGGGTCTAGGAAAAGAGTTTAAAGGGACCGAGATGTCGATCGCGGGAGGGTCTAGAAAAGGAGTTTCAAGGGACCGAGATGTCGGCGGGAGGGTGGGGAAGTGTTTGAACTTTAAAGGGGCGGGAGGGTCTGGAAGAGGAGTTGAAAGGGGGACTGAGATGTCGGCGGGACGGTCTAGAAGAGGAGTTTAAAGTTGGCGGGAGTGTCTAGAAGAATTTAAAGGCAGTTTGAGGATTGAGATTAGGGGGACCGAAACGTCGCGGCGGCGGAGGAAGCTGTTCGGATGGCGGGCGATTTCAAGCAAGAAATAGAAACCCGCAAAGAATGTGGGGAACAAATTGAAGATGACATGGAAACTGGCGCTTACATAGGTGTGGAGGTTTTGGGGTCATGCTGAGTAGAGAGCGAGGGAATGCATCCTATAGCGATTCCGTCATAATCCCGAGTGGCAGTCCTTTCAACCTCACCGCCCTTCCTGAGGTCAGAAGGGGGACTTTGAGGCTTCATGATTTGTACCAACATGCCGCTTGGGGTTGGGTGAAGGGTGTGATTTTAAGTTGAATGAGACAAGTCTAGGGTGGAGTGCTCAAACCATACGACCACTATCAGTACCTTTATCACCGCTACTAAGCTGAGTTCCATGGCTTTGTGAAGTTTTTGTAACTTAGCCTGCGTGTTTTTGGCATCAGCTTCGCGAATTGGCTTGGCTTTCCTGCCAGGAAGTCAAGCTGCTGCCTGTGTGGTGACTTGATCGCAAGACATTTCCTACATGAAAGATGATTTTGCTATCTTTGGCATCCCTCAACATTGTTCAGATGCTTGTGAAATTGCCTTGCCACACAAGGAGCAAGATTCAGGTTGGACAGCAGGCGATAGCCCGGGTTACGCCACGATACCAGTCTGCAAAACACAATGCAAGAAGCAACGCAGACGGGTTAATGAGATCACGGCAGCAAGAGAGTTAACGGAACATCATATCTGAGGACACATGTCGGCCACCAAAACAAACGATGGTGAGGAGGACAGCTACATGGAGGCTGCCGGGCTTTGCAGTTGTACTGGCTTGGGTTCTGGTTCTGCTCACAATGAAATGCCTTTTTGCAGCCAGTGTCGCCAGCGAAAGGGGCAGACTGTCTGACTCAGGGCAGCTGGGAAGGGATAATCGGCGCCCAAATTGTCCCCAAGCTGCTCGCAAGCTGCGCAGGGCAAGCCCATGGACGTTTCGGCGAACTCATGTATCCGGTGTTTGCATGGGCTGGTCTCAAACCCAAGCTCTCCCAGACGGATCACGTATGAAGTCCCCCGGCACAAACTGCAAAGAAGTTTGACATCGGGCAGTGCTCTGCAGTTTTGCATTTCCAATCGCTGATGCGGCATGGATCCTGATGCCGATATTCATCCAAGTGATCTGTTGGCCCTCCTGGTCGAATCTGAGGTATTTGGTTTGCTGCTCATCATTTATGACTTGATCTGGCTGCCAATGCAAGTCTTCGATCCAGCAGACTCAGACTTCAGCATCGTGATGGGTGTGTTGTCTTCCATATACTGGTCCCTGCCTCACCTTGCCTGATGCCACATGAGTTGGTACAGTGCATTTGCTTGTTGTGAGTTTGATGATGCATGCTCCGTTCCCTTCATTCCTCTCATTGCAATCGGTACTAAAACTCGTACTGTTGCTGATGTTCTCCATGCAGCCATGGATAATGAAAGGGTTGCTGTTGGCAAGGACCTTTGACATTCCTCTTTCTTTTCTCGTCGGCTTTGCAGTGCAGGACAAAGGCCTCAACACTGCCAGTCACTACTACCATAAGAAGTTGCAGTCGTGGCTTCACAGAAAAGTAGCAGCATTGCACGAGCAAGAGTCATGGTCAATTTATTGCTTGTCAATCCTGGCGCACGTGCCCCTGCTGCAGGGCTCTCAGGAGCGAGGAATGGTGAACTGCAGTGTCATAAGCAGAGAATTTTGCATGGTAAGCCGCCTAGAGCATCAGCAGAGCAATTAGTGCATCGCTTGGTGTTGTTTGCGCAGGCATCATTGAGATGCGCCTTCGGAAGATCGCCTGGAACTACTTGAAGAGCTGGTTGCCTTTAGATGTCGCGATCGTTGCCATCGCCTGGCGCTCAGTGGCTCCTGGCTGACAATCCGAAGCCTCAGCGGCCCATGCATACCAAAAGAGTCAGATATTGTATACTATAGTACATTATGGTATATCATTGTATATTATGATATATTATGGTATTTTATGATTGTTACTACAGCCTGTTATGTGAAAATGACTGGGAAGCAGCTTGGAAGCGAGCACATAGGGTATATATTGGGGTTATATAAAGGGATAATGGAAAAAATGGAAACTGCCATATTGTTTTGCTTTTGTGGCAGGACTGGGTCATCAATTTCCTGGATTGGACCAGCAGCGAAAGTGTCGGTGCGGGTGAGGGTATCTCTTTCTTCCGCATTGGAAAGGCCTGGTGCCTGCTTACTTGTTTAGGGCATTCGCCATGTAACTTGTGAAGGGAGGTTAATGCCTAAGGTAGGTCATTCCCTTACATACCTCGCCCAGTTTCCATTTCATCTTCCATTTGAGTAGTAATTTATTTGGGGAGACTATGGTACCCATTATAGAGTAAGATTATATCCTCCTTTTGGGGTATAGTCTTATATATAAAGAATATTATCTTACTAGATTCAACCATCAAAAAACGCTACTCATTTGATTCTCCATTTTTGGTTTGCTAAAAGAGTCCCAAAACCTAAACATCCCTAAACCCTATATTATACCCCAATCTAGTAACTTGAATTAAGTCCCTCAACAGAGTCCCGCAGCTGCAGGCGGTTCGCTTCCTTCGCTTGCTTCGTCTTCTGCGTCTGCTAAAAGCACATGGACCGGGGGGAGCCCTAAACCCTAAACCTTATATAACCCCATTACAGTAGTTTCCATTTTCTTTTTCACTATCTATAGTGCAATTTCCGAAGCCAGTGCAAAAGCGTTGAAACTATTCCCACTGCGCCCGGCGATGTAACTAAGCCAGAAGCGCGCCCGGAGGGCCTGTTCTTTCTTCGGCTCCTGTCTTTTCTGGCGTGCGCGCTATGAACCACTTAGCAGTTTCTTGCTGGCTTGTCAAATGATGTGCCAGCTGCGTGGCGTGAGGACGATTCAACGAGCTGCTGGAACATGTGCAGTCCGAGTTGCTCACCTGCAAGCTGTGACAAGGTCTACACAGTGCACAAACGGCCCTGATATCTCAACTTCCAGGTTCTCGGTGATTGTGATCGGAGTCCTAAGACTGTCGCTCGTTGCAAAGATAAGTTTTTTTCGTGCTAGTGTCAAAGCTTGCGTCATCAAACGGCCTGGCACCAACCAAGGATAGCCTTCATTATGCTGCTGAACCATATTGTTGCTTGCGTTTGGTTTTGGATTGGGCCCCTCAGTTGAACCTACTGTGGTTGTTCAGTTGTTTTGGAGGCTGGCAGGGCCGCAAGCACTCTTTGATCTTGACCAGGCAGTTGGAGAGACCAGACACCTGGCTGCTTCAAGCGCAGACAGATATCATGTCCGCCAACTTGGCCTACCAGCAGCTTGGCAAGATGTGGTAGTTTCCTAAAATCAGGGGACCCCAATATAGGCCCAAAATGCAAGAATCCTTTTTATTGGACCCCTACAAAAAGACCACTAATTTTGGGAAACCATGAACCTTATATACCTCTATGTATCCCTATACAACCCCTATAACCCCCTTTAAAGCGTACCCTAATTTTGGGATGCTGATTGTCCACGCACACGCAGACCAAACCTGCTTTGGGTTATATTGGGGTTATATTGGGGTTATATTGGGATAAAGTAAAAATGGGGGTTATATTGGGGTAATGTTGGGGTTATATTGGGTTTCTACTAGAATACCATAGTAGTAGAAATAGGTGATGCGTAACTTCTCAGGTCTCCCTGAAGCCGGACGCAGGTTATGTTGTCTTGTGACAGCGAAAACATAATGATGATGATGATGTCTCAGGTATTTCACAGCCTTGCATTGGTCGTTCACTCAATTTACGCCAGCTTCTATGGAGGCCAGACTCTTGAGCAGTTGTTCTGTCAGTCTTGTGCCCCCGCTCTTGCATTGTTCGACTGTTCAAACTTGTGGTTCCTTTGAACAGGTCACGCCGAAGAATGAGATTGAGCGATTATTCAACGTTGTAGTCATTATATCTGCCATGGTGATTTTCTCTACATTTATTTCCGCCATCACCAATGCAATGAACCAGCTGCGAAATCTGAACAGCCTCGCAGCTGCAGAGCTGGCACGACTAGCGGATGGAAAGCTCAGCTTGTCCTTGTTTTTAAGGTGAGAGGAATGAGCAAGCGTCTCTTCTGCGTCGCTACATGCAGCAGAATAGCGTGGCGTGGTTGGCAATCAAAGTCACTCCTCTGCAAGCGTTGAATGGCCAGTATGCTGTGATTCAGGTCTCCGCACCTCTGAAAGCTCGTGTTTTGCAGAGCGTCAAAGCTTTGAGCCAAACCCGCTCGCGCGTGTGAGGGGCTAAGTCAGTTCATCTCCGACATGCCTCTGCATCTTCATTTGCTCTTTGCTTTGGAAGCTAATTGTTGGGAGGCACGAGGCTGACGACCGGCGCTCAGTGCAGACAGACAGGGCACGTCATGACACGGGCTGCGGAGACTGGTCTTCATCTCATTCCGTCTCAGCTGCCTCTGTCTGTTGCTGCCGAGGTTTCGGTGCTCCGCTTATTGCCGCTAAGCCTGCGGCATGACCTGAGCCAGGATCGTGAAGCCCTTCAGCATATGTTTGTGTTGGAGGTGTGCTTTACAGATCAACTCGTTTCCATGCTGTTGCAGGAAGTCTATGCTCCTCATCTAGGAGTGCATCCTTTCTTTTATGTGGCTTGGTATTGCAAAGCTACCCGAAAGGATTCCTGTTGAATTAATCTGTATCCGCCAGATCCCACGATCTGTGGCAAACATCCCCTTGCGGAAGCAGGTGTGCAACGTGTGCTTCTCCATGCAGTCACGGAAGATCTACAGCACCGCGTTAACAGAGAAGTCCCTCAGCACCTCCCAAGAGCTGATCACCTCGGGTGAGAATGCAACTTGCACAGACTGGATTTAGCAAGGCTTTCTGAAGCAAAGCTTCCTGCATTACTTGTGGCCGCCCTGCTTCTGCAACTCTTCTGCAAGCCCGTAGGCGACTCACATGTACTTTGTGATTGGGGGCGTGTTGGATTATAAAGCGGACGACAGCGAGGAGAAAGCCGCTTGGCCAAAGTCAGCTGTTTCTTGAAAAGGGGGTAGCGAGAAGATGGGTCCCGTGCATTCGCTTTGCATTTTCTGGCCAGCAGCACGGAAGCTGTCAGTAGCTGAGGATCTCCCGATCGCCTTGGAGACAGGAGCTTGGCAGCTTGGCGACAACATGCATGCTTCAGTTGCAACTGATTCTGATAGCAGCAGGATGAGCTTCAAACCTTCACCAGCATAGGCTCCCCAAAGAAGCTGTTACAGAGTAGGATGTTATACTATACTTCGAAATATACCTCAAAAGATCTCAGGTCTCCTCTCCAGATCAGAGCCCGCATACATTGGGACTTACTGTTCGTTAGTCTTCAGCTAAACTAGCAGTGGGCTGTTCATTAGGATTGGTGGAGGATGCGTAAATCTGAAACAGATCTCTCGGTAATTGCACTGTTTATGGTGGAGGGGGGCGGCTCAGAAATCAATTTAAGTTTGGATTTCGTAAGCAAGCAACGTCTAAGATCTGGGTTCCTTGTGGGCCATGCGGCATTTCACAGCCTCACAAGTACCGTGTAGTTAGCACATGGGGCAGTTGCTATGAACTCGAAAGACCGCTTGAATTTTCGTCTCCTCCCTTCTCTTGCAGTATTCTAGATGGAATACATGACCAGACCAGCAATGCACACTCTTGCTGGCAATGCTCAATGGGCTTGTGGGCAAGGCATGCATCTAGAATCTAGCTTGTACCCTGGTATTGTGACCTGCCCTTGAATGAGGTCTAGCTCTGGTGAGTTCAAATTTCCTTCCAGCAAGCGCTTGCAAGGTCATGTTCGCAAGACCCCAGACCCTGCATGACCTCGGCTCTGATTTCACCCTGCTACTCTAGGTTGAGAACCCGAAACCAAGGCTCTGTGAGGCGGCCTTGTGGGTGAAGTGGCAACACAATGGCACGGCTCAGACCGGTGCCGGCTGTGAGCTTATCTCCGTTGACGCAGGACTTGACGGCCTCTAAAGGGGGCGCAAGGGAATGGAAAAAGAGCAGGGAAATTAGGAAGCGAATCAAGATATCATAATCGAACACATGGAATGGGGACTACGCAGGTTTTCGGGCTTAGACTTTCAGATAGGACTGTCGGGCCCACGCAAAACGCTATTCTCTTCATAAAATCTGGCAAAAAACGTAGATTATGGCAGAAAACTCTTGCAGAAACTGGGCTGCAAAACTAGTAAGGAAAAACGGGATCCATAACGCGGGCTATATTCTAGAACGAAAGGGTGCTTTTCTAGAACGGTCTCAAAAAATCCAGTCATTACAAAAAACAAAACAAACAAGCAACACGCAAAAAAAGAAAAAACACACACACACACAATAACAACCAAAACACAAAACATGGTACCATATTTCTCCAGCCACCGGCAAATGGCACAGTTTTTATGTATGTGTTTTTTTTGTTTGTTTTTTTGTTTCTTTGTTTTTTGTATGTTCTATTGGTCATTTTCAGTATTCTGCAGCCCCAGGACTACGGGAGTGGAATTTTCATTTTTATTTTGTTATTTTCGGTTTTAGTTTTACGTATTTTCCCATTTTGGCTTACTACACGCCGAGACCTCTTCTTGTTTTTATTTCAAATTTCGGTTTTTAGTTTTACGTGCTGTTCCATTTACGCTTACTACAGACCTAGACCTCGTCTTGTTCTGATATTATTTCGAATCGCTCCTTTAATTCGAGAAAGGCCCCCATGTTCTTGCGCATTTTTGTCGAACTTATCGATGTTTTGCGATAGGGCCGCTCTTATATATCAAAATTTTGCAACGCGGAAGAAGGAAATCTCTCTTTGAACACAGGCTTGGTTCTACACAGGGCCTTATGCACAGTGTGTTATATAATGCAGGATTTCCCTTGAAATGCACAATGTTTTAGTTCAAAGCACAGAACCATGTCCGCATGGGGATTCAACTCCAGCTCCCGTTGGTTCTATTGAATTTCGAAGAGGTCAAACAGAAACACCTGCAAGGAAACTGGAGCTTTCACCTCTCTCCAGTCATTTCTATCTCTCTTGTATTTTTATTGTGGAGAAGAGAGACTTCTATTCCGCTTGTCAGAAGAGGGGTTTGGTTTTACTGGTGGCCTGATTAAGGGGTTGTTGGTTGTTTGGGCTTGAAAGATTAAAGTTAACAAATTCATCTACACTAGTCGAATTAGTACAATAAGAACTTAGAAAAGACAAACATAAGAAACAACAATATTTTATGAAATAAAGTATTCCCAGGGAATCTCATTTGCATATGTGGGAAAGCATTTAAAATTTGTATGCTCCTTCTCCATAGTCTTAGTATGCAAAGAGTTTGAAAGTCAGTCTTTTGTGCGAGAATCTAAATATCTAAATACCTGCATTGTTTCCTGCACCACAAGTATTTCTATTTTAAGGAGGAAATCCCAAATCCTTGGCCCTGCATTTCCTTGTTAAACACTTTCACTAAACTGGATAGAAATTTGAAGGACCTTTCTCATATTCCCTACAAAAGTCTTCACACAAACCTTCACTACATTGACGTTGATAGATAGACACAATGGTCTTGTTCACCATAAAGGCCAGAATTGAAACCACCTCACTGTTGCCAGTATTTCTTTTTCCTCAATCTGAAAACTACTTGTAATATTCCAAGGGTTTTCGATATATACTACAAGCATTTCAAGTAAGAAGGAGGAAGTCTCAAACCCTTGGCGTTGTTGGCATTGCATTTTCCTCATTGAAAAACATTACTAAACTGGTTTCGTGCAATTCTGCGATTCTCTTACGAAATTCTTCTTTCACAAAAGCCCTCACCACATTGACTTTGAAGCACAAATTCTAAGCAGAAATTCTTAAATCCTGGGCTCCTGTTTGTGTTATTCTCCGTGCATCAGTCCCATGTCAAATTTGAACGTATTTCAAGTTTAAAGAAGAATTCGCAAGTCTGGGGTTTCTTCCTTTTTCTACACAATTCCTGAAGACGTGTGACTCAGATTTCAGCAGGACTAGCAACTAGTCGGAACATCGTATTTATTGGAGACTGTGGGAATAGTATAGATAAGGGGGCGTATATATATATATATAAGAAGCCCAATAGTTGAGAAGTCAGATATAAACTTACAGCGTATTTAGTAAAAAGTTCATACATAGAAAAATGAGGAGAAGCGGAGCCTAAGATCTAAGAATTCCTGTTTACATCTGAGACACACACACACACCATTGCTATGAGACTTTTGCAATAAGACATGCTTTCCTTAAGCAATGTGTACAGCCATGATAGGCTTGCTCTTTGGCATCAGGCGTGCCGACTTGTCAAAAAGCGTGGGCCCAGAACAGTCCCATCTCTAGACTTTAGGGTGAAAGTAGAATCATAAATCAACTGGAAGCTGGACTTGTCTCCAGACAGAGGAACCCAACCAGTGTGGTAACGGTGTGTGTGTGTATATATGTGTATACACATGCAGCATTTACATATAGATTAACTGTACATATGTATATAATTGAGGTCTATAGTTGCGTTCAAGTTTATCGAGCCATCCAGTTCAGAAGATGGCTCTGTGATATGAGGAGGCTACAAAATTCTGCGCCCGAAACCATTCCTGAACCACATTGCAGGAGGGTTGCAGAGCATTCTCAAGGATGAGAAGCCGGTGCGTCAGCCACTTCTCACAACTTGAGCGCTCTTTCTGCTAGCCTGCTTTTCCTTCAGTTTTGAAAGCTTCGAGAGCGCAGACCCTCTTTGCCTCAAGTTTGAGGTATGCCAGCATGTTCTGCAAGTACTTCTCGCATCTCGGATATCCTATCTAGCCACGGACCGGGTAGAGGGCGCGTGAAAACACAAGTAGGTTTTGCGCAAGTCTGCGGCATGTAGGTCGGCATTCGTCTTAGCCCTGTGACCATCCCAGGGACAACCCGGACACCTTGTCGGATGTCTGGGCAGATGAAGAGGCATTGTTTGATTGGGCTACCAGAGCACTAGGGCAGGCCCGGTGGCATGTTTCCTTGTGGAAAGGATGCCGAGCGAGCACGATTTCTGGATCTGATGTTTACTGAGGCTGAGACGTACTACGGCGATGTGATTCCTGCAGAGACAACGACTGCAGCTGCAAGCAAGTTCTCTGCCTTCGTAAATGCGCAGAGAAGGGCTAGCCACTTGCATGAACCATAGCTTGATTTCGCTCGAGCAGCCAAAGTGGCCTAAAGCATGCGTTTGCTGCGTGTGCATGACCACACGGGACCACACGTGCTTGTCCCAGGCAGTGGGTTCATCGGGCGTCGCTTCTCCGATGACAGCCTGTCGGGGCTCATCCCCGGACCAAGCGAAATGCCGCAATTGTTGGAAGGGATGCATGAGGAGGCGAGAGTGGATGTAGACTTTTAGCCTGAAGTCTTCGGGGCCCAAGTGCAGGAGCGCCGTGCTGTGTTTTCATCATATGCACGTGCAGGGTGTTGGCCGTCTTGCTTCGCAAGAAGAGGGTGACGAAGCTGACAGCAGCAGCAACCTAGCAGCAGTTACGGCTTGATGAAAGCTGCTGCGCCATGGATGCCACCGTCTGAGGCAGCAGCAGCGGCTTGACAGACAGCGAGTAAGAGCAAAAAGCTTTGAAATTTAGTGAAGCAGCGCAGGCTCGGGCAAGGGTTGGCGGCACATGCTGCTGTTATCGCTGTAATCATTGTTGTTATCAATTCTATTTCTTATTGTTATTTTATTCTGCGTATTCTTGTTATTTCGATTTTATTGTTACTATTCGTTTGGCTAGCAGCTACTTGACGAGAGGCCGGTGGTTGTGGTGGATGATTCATCAAATGAAAGCTGTGCATTTCAAAAATGACTTACTGGTGCTTAACTTAAGGGGGTGTAAATATTACTTTTTGAGGGTACATATGGGGATTATGTAGGCATGCTTACAAGGATCCACTCCCCCATTCTCCCTCAGTTAAGCACCCGTAAAGATGAACTCAGTGGCACAGTTGGCCCCAAAGCTGTTCGAAGTTGTGGCTATGGCACATTGGCTTGAAAGCGTACGACCAAAAGCCCTACATTTCTAGGCTCAGTTCTAAGGGTAGTCATGAAGATTGGCCCTGATCTTGATTGAAGCCTCTATCTGGCGCCCATACTTAGTTTAGTTTTTGATGTTCTGCTTCACAGCTTTTGCAGTTCCTGCATATTCCCGCTTCATGTGCCAGCCATTTATATCGAGACACTTACTTATTCCAGTCTCACCCTTTGCAGAAGAGGGTTGTTCCGGACTCCGCAGCCCTCTCGTTTTTCTGTGCGTCCTGCTTGTTGCTAGTCGCAAACAGCATGAGCATTCCATGTTAACTTGCCATGCTTTGCATAAGGCCGTGTCTGCTGTGTGTGGAGTCATAGTTGTTCAGGCCAGGCATATAGCCCGAAGGGCTAGGAAGCCTCACGGAGAGAATAGCACTTTGCCATCGCACGGCTCTTCCTCAAATTGCTACCTTCCAACCTGAGGTGAGCACTTCTAAAAAGAGGCACCACTTGTGGTCTTTGTGTCTACTGCTTGCGTGAAATCTGTGTGAGTCAAACATGAAGGAAGGGCAAGATTTTCAGGGCCCCGGCCCAGCTATCAGTTTGGCAAGTTTGGAAATCGATATGCACCAAAGGTGCTGAACCCGCTTTTTCCTCGAAGACCTCCTCTTGGCAGTGTTTTTGCCGAGGAAATTGTGTAAATTAATGTGGGGGCAGCGCAGAGCATCTCTTGCGCCACTACTTGCAAGTTTACCGGGCTTGCATTGGACTGGTCAGCTTAGAAAAAGGTGTTGCTTTGTCGTGCTTTCACTGAAGAGCTGACCTGAGTGCTACATAAGTTTAGACTCTTGAGGGTAGTTCTGTTCTGAAGGTCGAGAAGGAGATGTCAGTTTTTGGAACGCAAATTTCTGCACAGCTCTGTGAGGTGCAATCTTGGGATGCCATAACAAGTATCCTGCTCTTAGCTTAGGCGTACAAAGCGCCTGCGCTGAAATCGCGGATTTCTCAGCTAGGTGGGATGGGTTATCTTGGCCCTCTCCATCTGCGAAAAATGAGACCTTGGGCAAGTTACAGAAGAGCACACAAGTGCTGCAGGTGCAAGATTGCTATGCCTGGGAAGTGCCAGCTCGTCGGCCAAAGCAGTTCCCATAGGCCACTGGCCTGTGATCTTGAAACTTACCTGTGTGAAGACGTTGTCAACATCAGCCGCTCAGACTGGGAGGCAGCCTGGATGCAATGCTTGCTTTGTGCGAGGATGCTATGAACCCATTGGAAGGCTCTGCCTTTGGAAGTGGTCAGTTGACATCCTTTTTGCCAGCCATCCTCGCCAGGGATGCAGTCGCAGCTTGCTGCTTCACAAGAGGAGGCCGCAAGTCTTGCAGGGTATCAGTCGTACTGAATGCAGCCCTACGAGGCAAAACGACTGGCCGCAGAGGTGGAGCAGGACCAGGGCTTGATTGCTTGATCAAACCAAGTTTGAGTGTTCTGAGAGCTATGTTTGGAGGAAAGGGTTCGTTGTCGGCATCTTGAAGCTCGTCTTCGGTCGGCCAATGAAGCTCTGGGCTGCTATTTGGCTGACTTATAGTTGCGCAAAACGCGGCCACTGTCAGGCCTTTTCTGTTGAGTATTCCAAATGGTCCTCGCTGCATCTCCTGATTTCTCGCCTGAACCCTGAGACAGCCAAGGTTGATACTCTCATATGTGTATGACCTGTATCTTGCATGATCCTGTCTGAGAAATCTTAAGCTTGACCCTGCAGCAAAGCTTGCAACGAGACGCCTATGGTGTGGCACTGGTGGCTGGCTTTCTGATTGCCGCTAAACTTTGGCTCGTGAGCTCCTCCCTTGAAGCCTGGAAGGCCCTGCACGGGCACCCTTTGCAGTGGCAGCCGAACTTTGCATCGGGTTCGCAACATTGGGACGCATCGAGTCAAGCCGATACTGTAGCAAGGGGCACAACTAACATTTCCACAGGATCGCCAGGGTCTGACACCTGTTCGTGACCAGAACTTGTCCGTATCGCGAAGGAGCGAAACAAGAGCATGGAAACTGCACCAAGGAGTTGCGTGAGTCACGAGGGGGTCAGGCTCATGAGTGTTGCCGTCCATGGGTAACTGGGGTTCCGCAGCCCATCAACGAATTGCGCAATATGACGGCGACTATCAGATGTTTGCAGGTCCCTTGCCGCTTCCTGCCACTGCCTCTGCTGCACGCCGCTAACAGCCTGCTTTCCAGTCATTTCCAGGAGTCCTGCATTCAGCTCCCATAAGCTTGCAGGCAGAGGACCTGAATACTGTCCAGACTGCTGCGGCATGTCTTTACAATGCCACGTCTAGCAGGCGTCCTGGCAATTAGTTTAACAAGTGAGGCTTCCGGACCAGAATGAGTTCTTGGCTGGACTTGCAGGCGCGAAGCCAGGCAGACAGAATGTTGTCTGTGTTTCCTTGCAGACAGGAGCAACGCGACAGCAGAACAGCTCCTGATGCTCAGAAGGAGGCACCTTTCCGAATCTAGTAAGCCTTGCTGTGCTTGTTATTCTTTACTATTCTTTAGTATTATTACTTCTATGACAACAGTTATTGTTATTACTACCATTATTATTCTTTCTGGAGCGAAAATGGGAGCCCCACAGCGTTCCTTTGTGTATTATTACCACTATTACTACTATTAAGATTCTTGCTTTCTCATTGGGCAACCGCACTTCAAGTTCACGGAGTGCAGGAGAACCAGCGGCTCCACCCAGCCAGCTTAGAGGCGGCAGAACCACGGAGTTTGTGTATGGTTTAGGGTTTAGGGTTTAGGGCTCGTGAGAAACCGACACTTGACCAGGAGGCGTTGCGAGAATGCGCAACCTGTGTCTCCAGGCGCACCAACTGCTTTTTTTTACAAACTTTATCATGAAAACATCCTCAAAATTACGGGTCTGTCTTTACTTTGGGGATCCCGTCAACAATGAGGATTACATGGAATATCAATTGTGGTATATGGGTAGTTCCCAAAATGAGTGTCCCCTTTTGGTACCCCTAAATCACTAGGCGCCGTAATGTTGCATATATATATATATAACCATAAGGTGCCCAGAATGTTGAGAAGAACCCATGTTGCATAGTTTCTATAGTGGTTCCCTGGATTTTGGGAGATGCTCATAGCTTCTGGGTCAGGCTGGAAGCGCTGCCGAGGCGTGAGCCAGCCTCGCAAACCCATGCGTCAGGCGAGGGGCTTCCATGTACTCCGATTTGGTGGCCCTTAGGTAGACCCCCCACCCAGTAGTAGTGACTATCAGGGATAATGGCGATGACATTAGGGCCCTCTTATCTTCCCCACTTTTACCGTACGCGCTGGGAGTTCCACCTAAGCCCTGCGCAGTAGCATTGTAGTTGAATGAAGCACGCGGATGAGGCACCTGCGCAAGCGAGGAAGCCTGGGAGCCGAACACGAGGCATTGCAGCCTTTGCTGCGCATCCTTGGGGAAGAGCCATTAGGTTGCAAAGGTCTTAGTGGGGTGTGGGCCAGACATCACATGAGCCAGCTCAGGATATTGGAGACCGCGGCATCACTGCAGGTTTTGCGGCCGTGCTTTGGACAAAAACAGAGACCAGGTATGAATTCTGAATGCCGGAGCTGTTCGCAATGAATTGCCTTTGGCTCCCCACGCGATCTGCTTCAATGCAGAGCGCTGTGTGAAGCCTTGTTCAACGCATCTCATGCTTCCAGATTTGCATATGAGATTGCCAGGGATGACGATGCTGGTGTGTGGACCGGCCGATGTCAATTAAAGGGAGAGAGACAGGGCCTCCGATATCCCTTTGTAAGATGCATTTGCGGCTTGTGCTGCCAGAATTGCGGAGCTGAGGCTGCGTTTGTGGTTCCTGCTCACGAAGCTTCATTGGCACCGGCCGACAGCCGTGGCAACGTTGCTGCCCTTTGGACTTAGACGATATGGAGCGACACTTCGTTCCGAGAAGTGATATTGCAGCAGATCCTTTCATGGTGTTCTCTTGCACACGCAGTTCAGAACTGTTAGAACAGTCTGTTTGTAGGCAGCGGGTGTCCTCAAGTCCCCGCTTCAATCTGCAGACATGATGTCGTGCACCACAAAGGTGCCAGATGTGTGGCGCCGGTCGCTGTGCTCATGTTGGAATTGGGGTTTGGATTTCGCGTTGCTGACAGCACGCAGATGCTCTCCGCTTCTGTAACTTCTGTTTTGTGGCCTCGATGCGGGGCGCCAGTAGCACCTGCTGTATGTGCATTTTCCACAGGCCTGGGAACAGCGCGTGATGGAATCGTTAACAGCGCTCCTGACCCCACAACCCCCACACAGTGAGAACCTCCTACTTATACGCTCGTCAAAGCGGATCCTCGGCTTCTAAGCTGCCTTTCCATAGACCTCTTTGAATGAGAGCTTGATGTTTTGATCGAAAAATACCAACAAGCCTCGCCCAAGCCCTTTGAGTCCGGGTTGTCAGCGCAGCGGACTTGAGGTGGCTCAGCCTTGGCTTCAGCAACGAATCTAAGCTGCGAAGCTGGAGTTGGGTTTGGAACCCTCAGCTTATCAGGCGGCGGCAGTCATCGGCTTTCCATATGCCCTTGCAGCACGCAGTTTGTTTAGACTCGCCGTCAGTGAAATGCATGGACTTGCAAGTGACCTGAGGACTGGTGCAGATAGTTGAAACGATTGTGCATGGCTGCAATGTTCCTCCTCAAACTGTGCGCTGCGGCTACAGCTTGGATGAGGCCAGGATTTGGGCAGCAATTTGTAAACAATTGGGTATGCAACATCGTGAATTCTCTGTCCCAGTCAAATGCAGCCTGCTTGATCTATCCTACCAACAGTTCTCTTCCCGTTTCACTTGAAAGAGGCAGCTAGCGCCCTGTTGAGGAAGACGCTGTTGTTGCAGAGTGTGGTGGTGTGGTTGTTGCGGTTGTAGTTGTGGTGGCTGAGATTACAGCATCTGCACTTGGTGTTAGTCGCGCCGGTCGTAGTGCTTGTGAGGGTTGACTGCATAGTGCTACTACTGGAGCTGCCATTGCTGATTGCTGCTGCTGCTGCTGCTGCTGCTGCTGCTGCTGCTGCTGCTGTTTGCTACAAGAAGCAATGGCTGCTGCTACTGACCTGGACTTCTTCCGCGCTTTCTCACAAACGCAATAGTTCTAGGAGTGGCAGAGCAGCGGCAGCGGCGGCGGCAGCAGCAGCAGCGGTGGCGGTGGTGCCGGTGGTGCTGCTGTGATGTTGGCTGCGGTGGTTGTGGGTCACAACTTTCGAAAGCCTGGTCTAGCTGCCCAGTGGCAGCTGTTCTACAACTTGTGCCAGATCAGATGGTGCTGCTGCGGCAGCAACCGCAGCAGCAGTGGTACTCCTAAGCGAAATCCGCAGTTCTCCTCCGCCGACTCTTCTTCAAGCTGCTGCCAAACGACGGCCACTCGAACAACCAGCAGTCCTAGAGCAAAGATTGTTCTCACCACTGCTGTGCCATTACTATTGCCTGATTTGCCACTATTCCGCTACTCCTTGCGTGTGCTGATTCTGCTTCTCGTGATAGGCGCTGAAGCGCTGTGAGGAAGCCTTGCGTCTCCGACCTGATTCCCGAAGCCTGGTGCCAAATTCGGTATTGGTAAGCAGCAAGTAGCAACCATGATGAGCATATCGCGTGGTGATAACCCAGACCACTGCAGCACCAATGGCTGGGCCGAATATGTCGTGCTGGTAAGTAGCTTTACGGCCGTCATAGCTACAGCAAAGCTAGGAGATGCTGCATGATTGCCTGTGAGGACTAGCGCAGACAGTCTCCGAGACATGATGGTTGCTTTGTCGCTACGCACCAAAGCGTGCGCCTTTGTTCGCACACCGCCTCGGTCGTGATGGCTTGGTCACACCGGGGAGGAAAGCCTGCAATGTTGTCCATACGTCGAACCTGATGCGTTCGAACGGTTTCGGGACGCGTCATGTCCATATTTCAAACGGAGGAGGAGCTTCGTTTTGAGCTGGCCGCTGAGTTTGACAGACTTTTTCTCAAACCACTGCGACATTGACGGCCCCCAAAGCAAACTGCTACCCAAACCAACGGCGAGTAGATGTATGTGTTAGTGAAATTAGCACGTTGCCGTGCGCAAGCTTCTGCAGAAAAAGTTTGCATGCAGAAGCTGAAACATGTCCAAGCCTGAGTTCACTCAAAGCAGCATGGCCAGGGCTTAGATCTGGCCCATTGGCGTCCCGCAGGAAGCCGGCAGCCTTAGCTTGCAGAACCCTGCGAATGAGCACCAGCCCAGATAATTACTATAGTGTATTATATTATCTTATGTTATAATATCATATGATACCGTATATTATAGTGTAATATAGTATGCCATTATAATGTTATACTATACTATAATATAAAGTATACTATAATATAATTTGACTTAGGCTTTTGCAAAGCCGCGTGACGCCCTGCCCATCTTTGTGCCAGTCTCAGCGCGGCCCTGGCTCTTTGTCAAGCTGACATTTAAAACCAAGCGGGGACAAATCCGTCCTTCTTCATATTAGAATATACTGTAGTATATATAACAGTATTCTATAGTCTATTATGGTATATTAGAGTATATAGTAATATATTATGATATATCATAAATTATAGTAGTAGATAATAGTATGTGGTAGTAGCAACTGTACCAGTCGGAGACGTTGCGAGACGGCTCACGGGCCTTTTATTTATGTGCTTTTCCATGAACACCTCACCATTGTTTCTTCTATTCCTTGTCCTCCTTGTTGTAGGAGGAGTAAGAGTAGTTCTAGCTGGTGATGGCTGTGGTGGCGTCGTGCTCTGCTCCGCTGCTGAGCCGTCGTAGTTGGTGCTGCTCTATTGCGACAGCGGCGATGACGGAGATAGTGGTGTTGCTGGTGCTGGTGCTGGAACGGTAGTAGTTGTCTTTTTCATAGTGGAACAGTGGTTGTGATGTTGGCGAGGGCGGTGGCAGTGGTGGTGGAGGACTGGGAGGGCTGGCTGTCAGCCCGAGGAAAGAAAGTGCATGCGGGGTACTGTGCAGAGGTTTCTGCTGCGGCATGGTGCCGCGGAAGGCCAGGCCGCAAAGCGTCATGCTGCTTCATGCTCGAATTAAAATCCAGCAGCTCTTGACGCATCCAGAAGAGGTGCGTTTCCAAGTTTCAAGTTAGAATTAGCTGCCCAGAAGCTTAGCTTCTGGAGGCTTCCGAGACTTCTCAACCTCTGAAGCTGTTCGGCAGCGAGGAGCTTACTGCCGAATTGGTAATGGCAGCTAGCAGCATCATGGATGCAAAGAGTTCCACTCCACGCATTTTCTTCTCGGGGCCAAGACTGACTCTGCCTTGGCTGAGGCTTCATCATGCCGCCTGGTGCGGGTCGGCAGTGGTATGCTTTGATTTTTTGGCAGTTCGAAGCCGAGAGCCCGTACTCTTAGCACGCTCTGGCCGCGCAAGCAAGGCAACAGTTCAGACACAGCTGGAGTCACTTGCACAAGAAGAATGGCCGCTGGCATCGCATGCGAGGGGTCGCCTTCGATTTTGAGCTCACTGACTTGTTGCCTGCCTTCGCATCCCAGGTGTCATGCTTGCGACCGCGAAGGCTGCCTTCCAGTCCCTGCACTAGGCACTCCCCAGGCGTAAATGGGCATTCAGGCATTTGTCATCGTCCCCGCCACCCCTGCATTCCGTGGAATTCAACCTTGATCCGCGGTCACTGCGCCGGAGGGGCTTTCGTTCAGGCAATGGCATCCTCCATGCAGCTGTCAGTGGAGGCGCCCAGGGTGAAACGACAAATGCGTTGCTTTGCATTCTTACTGACAAGTTCTGAGCTCAGGCCACTTACACATCGCAAACGCGCCGGAAGCTTACAGCCGTGGTTGAAATGCTGTTGATGGCCACAGAATTTTCTCTGACTAGGCTGCAGGTCTCTGGTCTCTAGTTGCCTTGGTTGCAAATGACACCAGATGCTTGCTTATCCGCGGGTGTTCATACAATCCTACAGGAGCCGGCAACTAATTAGACGACCCATTTAACACATGATGATTGCTTATCAATATGACCTAGGGTGAAAAGACCAGCACCTTTCCAGTTCCCACCAGCACTACTTGACCATAATCCTGGATAGGGTCTGACAGAGAGCGCCATGGCACGACACATCCAGAAAGCTCCAAGTCTCTGGTACTGTGTTGGGGAGCTCAGCACAAGTGGCACCTTTTTTACGTTCTAGCATGAGCCAAAAAAAAGCCTTCCAGCGGGTGAGGCCGTGTTATTAGCTGCCAGCGGTTGGGCATCCAGGCTGTGTGTTGCAGCTGTTAGTTAGGATCTTTTGACACTTCTTTTGCCTGCGCACTTCCAGGGCACTCTGCCTGCAGGACGCTTCTTGCACACCCGAGTGCGCTGGGGCGTCGATTGCGAGGACGCTGGGCTGGGAGCAAACGCTCCAACAATCTGCGGAGAGCGCGGCTGGGACTCAACTGAATAAAGTCGCAAACTCTGAAATGGGCCTACCTCCTCGCCAAACAGCTTACCCTGTCACCGCCCTCGCTGCGGGGTTGTGGTGTCACTGCCATGCTCAAATACTTACTGTCCGCACAGTGCCCCACCAGCATGTTTTGAAGCTTGCGTAGTCTTCTTGTTGGGAGCTCCAGCACGCAGTCTTCAGCAGATCGAAGCCAAAGGAGAGACCGTTATCCAGAGATCAAGCGCTGCTTTGCCGTGAAATCTCGCACAGTGACTTGTTGACCGTGTGGGTTCATCAGCTTGCAGTAGGCCTGTCAAGCGCGCAGGATTTGCATCTTCTTACATCTCATCCACTTCCAGCCTTTGCTGGAAAAAAAAGTTGTGCCCAACTGCATAGCTCTCTAAAGCCTTTATTAGCTTTTACGCAGCAAGGGTTTTGCAGTCCTGATGGTTGGTTGCATCTTAGGCACGAGGATGGTCTTTTCAAAGTGCGGGACCGCTGCGACGGCGGTGCCGAACTTGGGGACGATGAGATGTTTTGGAGTAGGCCACTGCTCACTTCTTGCTTTTGGGCAAGCAGGAAGCTAGAGTTGCTGATCTGAGTGCTGACCTGCCAGGGAGTACAGGGAGGATGGCTCTTTCAACTTCTGGACCTTAGGGCAACCAAAAGCAGAGATCCGTGGGTTGGCCACGGAACTTCAGGAGCCGTCTGACTTTTCAGCATGCCGTCTAGCAACCTTCCTGAGTAACCACGGGTGCTATCACCGGCATCTTCTCGAAGGAAGCTGCATCAGACAGCGATGGCTTGGCAGCAGTCGTCCTAGGCTGCGGGCTTGGCCTGGATGTCTCCAACTCAGAGGATCTTATGCTCTTTCTTGGTTAGCAGCTTGTCCAGTCAGTTTGCTTCTTTGGCCTTTCTGCTTAGGTGGCATACTTGGCCAAGGAGGCATGCAAACCTGCCGGCTCCGAGTTGACGGCCGTGGCGGGCGTGGATTTTGCTTTGCCTGCTATCCAGGACACTGTAACCCAAGACTGCTGTAAGCATCTAAGCGGGCTATCCGCTGCCTCTCCTGCATTCTTCCTGGTGGGCCCAGTGCCATCGCAAGAGTGCCAGGAGGCGAGGAGGTGTCACCACGCAGCTGCTCGACACGAAGCAGGACTTCTGATTCTGGCCGGCCAAGTTTGTCTGGGAGAGCAACTGAGGCCGGATGCTTCTTCCATCATGCCGACGTTTGCGAGCTTCCAGCCCCCTCAGTGCCGCTGGACTCTTGTCACATCAGTCCAGCATCGCTGGGGTGGACGAAGCATCTGCTCAGAAGCTCTGGCAGAGGATCTGGTGATCGACAACACCGTCTTCCAAAATGCGTTCAGGAGCGCAATTGAGCCGGACAGTAATATTGATGACAGCTCATTGTACCCGATGCTGCGTTTGGTGCATCCACTTTGCGGGAGGAGTGGGCGGTTCGAAGCGTACCTGGAGGCGCTGAGTCGGATTTCGACGCCAGGCCTGCTTGGCTTGATGTTTGCCTGGGTACAAGAATCCGCGGAGCGTCCAGCCCAGGTCACACGCTTTGGCCTCAGCTACACCATAGAGATTTCAATAGATCACTGGGAGATGCTGAGACAGGCGGTTTGTAGGCAGATTCCCACATCCTGTCAGGATACTGCACTTGAACCTGATGAGTCGTGAGGGCATGGAGAGCCGAGCGCAGCTTCTCGGTGCTTCAGTGAGCAAGGGGATGAGGGCCTGGGGGCTGTGCTGACCACCTTCTCACCTGTCAGCTTGTCCACCTTTGGCCGTGCTGCAGGGGCTGAACTAGCGGGGTGGCTGAAACACGGGATCTGAACTCGAATAGGGTCCAAAGTTGAGCTCAGCTACCGGGCTACCGCTTTCACCAAATGCTTCGGGTTTGCGCCGGTTTAGCCTAATTTGTATAAACTAGGCCACTAAGAATGACCCCAAAACAACGCGATGGGACTGCAGTTTCTTCGGCTTCTCCCGAGGTTTGATGAGAGCATGGAGCTGCTGGGACGCGCAAATACAAACGAATCTTTTCGAGCGACTGCAGATCGAGATCGGCTTCCCGGATCTCGGCTCTTGTGCATGCATCAGGTACTTGAATCTTCCATTGCTTTGCCGGCACGAGATCTGCAATGCGCTGAAGCCCGAGATTTGGGAGATTTGGGAGGTTCGGGAGGCCAGACACGATTTTTGGATGCTTTTAGCGTGGCACCCTCAAATGTCACTGGCTCTTGGACTTGGATTTGAGCGGCGGATGCTCAAGAGTGAGCATCTTGAACGTTGTTAAGTATCAGTATTCAATCAAATCTAAGCTGCGATTGACAGAGGCAGCCTCTTCTCCAACCCAATACGGCTTTAAACGGGTTGACTTGCAAAGTCCACTTGGCAGGGTCACTACGATCTGAAGCCGGAAGGGGCTGGCTTTGAGTGTCGCTTGACTTGAGAATACGATTGAGCAAGCGGGCCCTTCTACTGAGTCTCTTCCTGCCTTGCAGCCATGCCTCGTTCAAACTAGTTGAAGGTTCAGATTTCTGGGCAGCAGTCATGTTGACGGGGTCGGCAGGTGAAGCCTTTTATACCTTCGGTGGACCGTCGACCCCCGGGCAGCTTGGAAGCTTTTGGGCCGGCCACAGCAGTCCAGTCAGACAATGAAGTTGCACATGGCACTTGAACTCAGGATCCCCAGCTGGTGCGTACTTGCTGCAAGAGTCTGAGCGGCTGTGGAGGGAAAGATGCTCGAGATGCAATCTACATGCAGCACCCCTCGGCTCTTCGAATTTCCTGGAATGTGATGTTGGGTCGTTGGATGTGTTGGAGCTGGCGGCCTGGTCAAAAGTAGTGGCCAAGGGAAGTGGAGGAGTTACATGGAGACGCGAGGACCGTCATTCCTACCGCAAGTGCAGCTCTGTCTGCGGCGCCAGACGCAAAGCAACTTCGTCAGGCTCCTCAAGCCGGAGAAGAAGCATGGGCTTTCGTCCGACTCCCGTGCCAAGCAGAGGAAGCATTTGCGCTGCACGATGAGATGACCGCCACAATTAGCAAACTGTGCGCCAGCCTTGCTCGGAAGAAAGCTGCCGGTATCTCAGTCTGCTCGGCACATGTGCAGCAACACTTCTTTGTCAAGGTTGCTGGGTGACCCCGACAAATTCGTTCGCTGCTGCGTGCTTCTAGGGTCAACGCCGGCAGCAAGACTTGCGATTTGCCAGGTGCCAGGGCTTCCCCTGATGCTCAGAACATGAAGGGACAGAGCAGCTCTCAGCATTTCGACGCGAGGCCTTCGCGTTGACGTGTCCTAACGTGTCTTGAAATGATGAGGACCCCGCTCCATTTGGCATGTGGCAATGCAGCGATCAATCTGACAAGGCCTTGGTGACATTTGGTGACCACTTCAATGTGCCTGGCAGACCATTTAGACGTGATGCTGCAGGCTGTTGATTTCAGCGCGGGCTGACCCAAGGCGGCCAGACTGAGTGAACAACATGCCAGCCGGCGGTGCGACACCACCTAGGCTTGGTGATCTCTCCGACAACCAGGCCCGATTGATTTTGAGCACCCTTTCAGCAGCTTTCTTCCGGGCGAGAGCCTACCAGTTTTGCGTGTAAATGCCAACGTCGATAATCAAGGGTTCTATTGCTTGCAAAAGTTGGAACATGTTGGTGAACGCAACAAGAGAGCAGAATAGGCAGAAGGAAGATGCAAGATCGAAAGCTTCAGGCACTTCAGCAAACAGCAGTCCAGGCGCCAGGAATGGTCGCAACCTTGCAGCGAGCAAGTTGGTGGTGGGACGCTTAAGAAAGCCGCTGCAAAGCCCTTGCGGGGCTGAAATGGTAACCCGAGAGTTGCCTCGGCTCTGCGATTCCTCCGCTTCGCTTTTGCTGCACCAAGGTCGAATGGATCTGCGCTGAGAAGCAGGCTTTTCCTCGCATTCGCTGTCTTCGGGCTCATGTCAACCGAGGCCCGGAGCATAGTATTGGCGTTGTCCTTGGAGGCAGAGCCACAAGTGAAGTCCAGACCTCAGCTCCCGCAAGGCTTGAGAGGAGATGAGGGGAGGAAACCCTTGGTCGAGGACTTGCGTAGATGCCGTGCCCACACCAGCGAGAAGCCCTGGCAGCGTGTCTGACTCAGCGCTGGCATGGCCAAGGATGTTGGAATTGGGGAAGCCGCTCGATTTCTGAGGCCCGACTGGCTTCCTGGAGCCCCGGCTGGTGACGGTGGAGGCTTCTGACATATGCTGTCTCTTTCCTGCCGAGCATCACTTTTGGAGTCTTGTCTAGGTCTGTCTGCAGGCGATGGCAGGCTTGGCTGATTTCATGCATGCAGTTAGTGACCGAAGCTGTTTGGTCAGAAGCCCAGATTGGGATCCTGACTTTCCGCCCGCGGTGAACCTCCTGAACAACCGTGGCGAGCGCGACCCTTGAGCCAAGACATAATGGACTCCTCAAGTCTTGGAAGACGCCTCAGGACAGGCTTGCACGTCGCGGCATCTGCAGATGACTTGGACCTGTGCAAGCCAGCAGCACAGTTGTTCAAAGAACATACAAGCTACGCAGCAAAGGGTGCTGCTCGTAACGTAGGTCTGCCAAGTAGCCCTGAGTAAGGTTGCTGCTTACCTTCCAAGCGCGCATCAATGATGCAGAGTGCTTCCCTCATCCGTTCTCGGCTCCCATTCAGCAAGATACGGGTTGGGTATGGATTGCAATGGCACTAGGTCGGGCAGTGGCCTGCGAGATTCTTAGCGTCGGATGAGATCTATACAGCGTCTGCCGTGCTTGGTGCTAAGGACTCCCTTGATATGTGCAGTGAGCGTTGGAGCTTGCACGGTGGTGGCTGCCTCAGAACTCAAGGTGCAGAATCGATCGGCAAAGCTACAATTATTCCATCGCTTTTGCTTTAGGTTCGGCAGCTTCTCGCCGCACAAGCTGCTGCAGTCTTGGAATGCCAGGCTTGCAGGCAGTGCACTTGTGTACTTAGACTTGAGGACTTGCATCTACTTGACACTTCCGGCCGGCTTCAGCCTGTGAGGACCTCCAAAAGGCATTATAGCAGACTCAAGTTTCGCCTTGAGGTCAGCACTTCATCACGCAGCGGCCTGTGGTGACCTAGCGGCTTGGACCCTGGCAGCTCTGAGATAGCAAGCAAATGCACAGAACTCAGATGGTAGTATGACGAGCCTTTATTTGGTTGGAATGTTTAGGTGGAAGATGCAGCGGTTCTGCTCAAGTGGCGTGCAGAGGTGCAGACTTGTGCAGATGTCAAGTTGCTCTCTTCATACTGGTTGCGGGAGGTTGGAAAAATATCAAGATGTGGATATGCATTGTTGCCTGTAAACAAGGCCAATGCAGTTGATTCTGAAGGAGCAACGCCTTTGGCGTCAGATGCCCGGAGACGTGTGACCCAAGATGGAACGAAAGCGCTAGAGAGAGCAGACAGCAGAGATCAGCTCGCACGTTGCAGTTAAATGAAGATCAGCCCATGGTGCAAGCTAGTCTGGATTTTGCCCGGGTCCAGAAAGTAGAAGATCCTCCTGGCGCACAGGCTGGCAGCCGTGCTTGGAGCACCCCAGATGATTCAGTTCCTGTTGAAGCAAGGCACGCTGTTTTGGGCTGATCGGTTTTCGACTCGCGACAGACCGCCATATTCCAGGTGCATCGCCTCAAGTCTGCAGGAGCCTTTTGCACTGACCTCACATGCCATCAGCATCTTGGGTAGGGGCCCGCCATATACCCTAACATAGACAAGCCCTTGCAAGGGGTACCTGCAGAAAGGGAGCCCTAGTCATTGGACTCTAGCTGGAACCCCGCAGCAGCGTACATCCTGAGGCCAAAGGTGGCCCATGCTCCCAGCCAGGGCCTTGCGTTCCTTTCATAGCTTCCCGTGCTTCGCTGATGGCTGCGAGGTCGTGCAATCCTACAGAAAATTCTTTGATGAGTCTCTTCGCTGGCCTCTTCACTGCACCTTTGCATTTGCGCCACCTGCCCAAGATGTGAAAGATATGTATGCTGTTAGCTTACAACGAAGAACTGGCAGGAGATGCCCGACAGACTGTGTTGGCGCTTGCCGCCAGTACTGTGTAGTCCGAAGTCTCGGATGCCAAACATCGCATCATAGACCTCATTGTACATAGACTACGGCGCTGTCGGGAAGCTAACGAACCTACTCCAGCTTTTGCACCAAAGAACTAGCTGGCTTAGTTGGAGGTGGCCCGAAAAAGCGATGCAACTTGCAGTGCAGAACCTGACAGTCTTACGATTCCGCCCAGATCTTCCGCATCCGCTTCGCCAGGATCCATAGCATATGCTGAAGTGGCATTTGGAGCGAACCATATCAGTGGCTGTCGTTGACATGCTAAGCCAGGAGCATTCACGATGCAACACAAACGCAGAGCTCAGTGTAAATCATGGAGGGCTTCGTCCCTGTGCTTCTGGAAAGCTGCGGAGCCAGGGCCAAAGGGGGTTAGGCAAGCGCTTCAGAGAGTTTAGGGTTTGAGGATGGCCTCACCAAGGGGCCAGTGGCTCTCTCTGCTCCCTCGCGCATACGTGAACGGTCTGGTCGCAGAGCAGGCGAAAGATTGCATGAAACTCTGGACACGCAAGGAGGTATTTGCTTGAAGCAGTGGGAGAGAGTAGAAATAAGAATTGATACCAAATAAATGCCAGCTGAGCTGTTTATGCCGGTTCAGACATCTTCCTAGGGTCATCTCGGGTCTGAATGGCAGGAAGAGAGTTATCACTCGGATGGACTTGTGCCGCTTCCATCAAAGATAATAGTGCCCATTGCCAGCATGAAGGCGCATGATGATTGGTCACACGCAATCTTTGCATCCTGCAGCGTGATTTCTCCGCAGACAAGACTGGACTGGTAATCTTCAACACTTACGTCACGAACAGCCCGGCAGCCATGCGAGCGGCGCCGAACATTTAGCATGACCTTTTCTCAGGTCAAGGCCCATGATGTGCCTTGATGAGTGAGCGCGTTCGGGCATACCCATGTGACTCAAGTTGCAGGCCGCCTATGGGCAACCACGCCCTTTGTGGCCTTGAGCTTATCAGAAGCACAACAATGCTTGTCAGCACGAAGGCTGCATTGCAACATCAAGCACAGCTCAGGTGAGAAGGGTAAGTGTGGAGGGCATCTTGCCAGCAAGGAGCGACAGAACAGAACGCACGTCATCAAGGTACATCAACATCAGTCCCAGATTTGCCTCCTCGTTTCAGATCCTTGGCGGGCAAAGCGTCAAAGTCTTCGCAAGGCAGTGCTCGCAGCTGACGATTTCACAGTCGCTGGAGAGCATTATTGAGGAGACTGGGACGGCAACTGGGTTACAGCGTGTGCATGAATGCTTCGGTGAGGAGCCTGAGCCATCTGGCGCCGTCTTTGCAGACACCTTGCAAGGCTGGAAGAGGATGTGAAGCTGACCCAATGCAGTGGCAAGCAGTTTCAGTCGAATGTGAAGGTCTCAACGCAATCGACCGCAACCTTCTACTGTTCTGTGCCCTGCAAGAATCTGCTTAGTGGAACGCGGAGCTGCCTTAGCTTTCAACTGCCAGGTGCCTCAAGCAACTTAGCTGGTGTTCGCTGGCTCCTGGTCCTTGGAGCAAACCGTCGAGTCACAGCATCTTGCTTGCAGATACGCTGCATGATACGTGCGGGGTCCCTTTGCTGAAATGCATGGAAGGCTCCCCAACCAACTTTCAGGACCAGAAGGGCACCACGTGCCTGCATGCTGCCTGCCGAAGTGGTTCCAGCAGCATCGTTGAAGTCCTTGTTCTTCTGGAGGAGGAGTCAGGCCTGCTGAAGCTGAGTCGATGGAAGCTGTATGCAAAGCCAACATGCAGTTCAACTCAGGAGCAGTCTCCACAAGTGCCAGCACTGTCGAGCGTCATGACGCAGCTTGCTCCAAGCAGAGGGTCACTGACGTCTCGCTTTTTTATCCAGTTGCTTTGTAAGGAAGACCTGGCGACGGACACCGGTGGGATCGGAGGTCTGCAAGCAACGGACGAGGACTGATGCGAACATGACCTAGCAAGAAGCGGCATTGGCTTGGGCTTGGCTCAAGGCTGGCTGGACGCCGCTGCATGTGGCTGCCTTCATGGGCCGGCAGGATGTAGTGAAGGCCTGTTGCTGAGCCTGGATTCATTGAAGGGCCTGTCAACTCTGCCAAGGTCTTACTCAGGAATGGGGCCAACACGCTTGCTCGCACCAACAAAGGCCAGTTTGCGGTGGACCTATGCTCGGAGCCACTCCAGCAGAAGCAAGCTTTAGATTTTGCATACAAGGTCTTGCAGCATATTTCATTGCAGACTGTTGCTGCTTCACACGGCTGCTTAAGCCGGTTACGGCAAATGGCCGTGGTGAAGCAACCGAAATCTTAAAAGCATCCTAAGCTTAAGCAAGGTATTCTAACCGCTTAGACATGCGCAAAGCTGAGGATGTGGCAACCCGCAGGCTCCTACAAAAAGAAATGCGAGCCATGTCGGATGTCACATTGGGCGTCATGGCTGCAGAGATGAACTGCAAAGTTGTGTTCGGGCTCATTATTCAACACCAGAATTTTGAGGTGTTCAATTTCCTGACGACAGGCCAACACCTGCACGGATGAAACGCAAGCTGCAAAGTTATGGATGTAGGATGAGGGCTGCTTTCAAGTGTGGTCAGACGCTCTTGCAGCAACATTGTGCGAGGTGTGGCTGAGATCTACTGAAACTTGTCAGGTCCTTTAGCCAAGCCAACCAGGAGGTCACGCTCCAAGCTTTACAAGTCGAAGGCAGGCTCTGTCAGACTTTTGCTACGAACCCTGATAGGGGCCTGTTCAAGGATCGGACGTGAATGGAGCGCCTAATGCAAAGATGCGGTATGTGTAGAAATTCCATTCTGTGGCAGCACACGGATACAGTTGCTGCTGCGAATCGAATCCATTTCCCGGCCAAGATGCATGACACCACTTGCGGAGGCACTGTTCTGTCGCGCTCTTGCGTCGCCTCGCCATCCAGAGAGATTCGCGGCGGCCTTACATCTCCGCATTGTTTGAGGTGGGACAGTGGATCACCTGCAGAACGAAATGCAGGATTTTTTGGACACTTTGACGCCCCCAGGCTTCGAGCCGTTCTTTGTGCCACGAGCTCCACTTCTGGTGGAGGAAGATGTGGAGCTGGAGAAACTTGGTGTGTACAAGACCACTTTGCCTTCATTCATAGTTGGTGGGGACTGCACGTTCTGTGCTGGGCTGAGGTTTGCTGAGCTATGTGCCTACTTGGGCTGCCAGATTTTCGATTCGAGCCCTGGACGAGGGCTTGCTACCTGGCAATAACGGGAGCCTCCCCTTGACCCAAGCCTGGCTTTCAAACAGCCAGGGCCATCTGGTCCAAGGCCTTCTTGGTGGTCACTGGCTCCGTTCGCGATTACCCGATTGATTTGGTGGGCTTCATACGGACGACAAAGCTTAGCCCCATCCAAGTTGGAACTTTCCTGGGCGAGGAGCAGATTCGTGGTACAGTACATGGATTTATGGGTCTCTTGTCTCTATGCTCGTTGCGTAGGACTTCTCGCTATCAAAGATCCTTCGGATGGAATTCCTGAACTCGGCCACTTGTCTCAAGCTTGGAATTCATACCTCGCCTGCGAAAGGCTCTGCCTCCGTTGCTTCTTAGAAAGCCTGGAGGTATGTCTGACGAGCACCGGTGTGGTGTCTGCACTTCGCACAGGCAACGGGGTTTGGTACAGTCCAATGCTGGATCGTTCCGCATCAGCTGGCCTAGGTCTTACCGGGTTAAAGGTGCCCCCCGATCTTCAGAAGATGAACCGCCTCCTGGGCAGCCTTTCTGAGGCTCTTGCAGAGCTTGGTTCAACAAAATTTAAGAAACCTTAATAATAGTAATATTAATACTAAGAATACTAATAATACTAATAATATGAATAGTAATATTTTTTTGGAAGGTCTGGTGGCGGCAACAGCTCCGCGCTGCAAAGCTCATCAACAGGAAGAAGGCTGAAATCCTAACGTGGACTAAAAGCAGCGCTTGGATTGCAGCACATAACATCCCGAGGATAAAGCCAGCAGCCCGTCAAAGAGCCAGGAGCCATCTTTTCAAAATATGTATTTATGTATATTAATATAAATATGGGTGGTTGTCAAAGTTATGGTCCCTTTTTGGGTGCCCTAAACAATAGGTGCCGTATTATAATAGGGATCCAAATAGGGACCATAATTTTGATAACCACCCATATATAAATATATAAACATATATATATATACACATACATATATGGGTTTCAAAAGCGGTGCGCAGACAGGACATTCTCATTGAGGAGTCTGTTGACATGGCGGTTGATGTGGCAACGGATGAGCTCCGCGGGACAAATCTGAAAGCGCACCTGGCCTGCTAAGTGGTCATACCACTTATTTGGCTGTCCTTTTGTCAGGGAGAGACAAGGCCATCTAAGGATTCTGCCTTCCATCAACAGTCTGCACCAGCTGCTGTTTTCCACAGTGCTTCGCCTGAATTTCTCAATCTGCAATCATGCAGTGTAGAGCTTGCATGGAATCTTGAGGGTGTATATTCGTGACAAATTAAGCAGCAAAACTTACAGGAAATATTTGACCCCTCCGCTGCTCTTCCTTTTTACCTCCAAGATTGCATCTAGCCATTCTGAGGTGATGCTCCACTGGAATTTGCATGCTCCATTGCCTCCGTCCCAGAAGCTGGACTTCGATGCTTGGGCGGCTCTGAACAGCTCCTTGCCTTTCAATGGCCAATCCGGGAGTTTCGTCCACTGCCAGAAGACATGGTTCGACTTGATTCTGGGGTTGATGCTAAGGGAGTGGCACCAAGGACTTCTGAGACATTTTTTGCTTTGACAGCTTTGTCTGGATTGTGCATGTTTATATGTCTGCGCTTGAGAGGAAGATGTTCCGGACTGGGTGCTTGAGCCCATCTACGCGGCGGTGGCGAGAGCTCCACTTGAAGAGTTGTCACTGGACTTGGACGAGACAAGGCTGCTCCTCTGCACAAGCCCGCTGTGTAGGATTTACGCTTCAACTTGCATCGATCCATTTCTGCTGGGCTGCGCTGAGGCAAGTCACAAGCACTAGTGCCTTGATTGCACTGCTCACTGAGCATCGGGATCTTTGATGTCACAGCTGTGAAAGTGATGTGGCTGAGTTCAGAACTCTCCTATGGTGCTCTGTGTTGTAGCAGCAGGTTATTTCGATGTGCAGGAGCTTGCTGTTGCCTCCGCCCTAGGCTGGGTGCAACTTTGCCAGCAGCGAAGTTTTGAGGTCGTGCCGAATTTATGTTTGGCTGCCTGAGATGTGTGCGTGTGTGGCATGCTGGGCACAGGAGGGAGTTGTTGCAGAAAGTTTTGTGCAATACAGGGCGAAGGAGTGTGCTGGAGAGCCTCCTGCCAACGTCGACATTCACGGTGCATTTCCGCGTGCCTGCATCAGTGATGTTAAGTCATTCTGTTGCAGGTAAGACAGAGCTGTCTAAGAAGACTGTGGCAGGCAAAAGGAAGTTGCCTTGACGACAATTCCCATTTCATCCTTCAGAAACCGCCACCTGTTTTTGGGGTCCCGAACTTACTGCTGCTTGGGAAAGCACTACAGCAGTAGATCTACAAGGCAAGTCTTCGCAGACGGCCTTCCGGCACTTCCTGGCGCACCGCGCTTTCGCCCAGTTAGCTTTGTGGCCACTTGGATGCACAGCTTGGAGGGTGCAACCTATTTAGCGTGAGCTTTCTTGTGCGAATCCCACACAGAGGTGGTATTTAATCTTCCAAAAGGTTTGGATGGAGTTTGCATCGGAGGCTTTGATAGATGAGGTTCGGACATGACAGGCTTGAGGTCTGTGATGTGTGTCGCATGCGGCGTGGCAAAATGAGGCTCAAGGACCTCTTCAAGTTTAATTCGCTGAAAGCCGTGGTTGACTCACAAAGCCTTGAAATATTCGTGTCCACAAACACAGCGCGCCAGCAACTTATAGAGCAGAGAATCAGATTGAGAAGCGCTTCAGATGTGACAGTTCCAGCGGGGCTGCCCCTTGTCAGTCGCATGACCGCATCGACCTGCCAAGACGAACCTACTAGATGAATAATATTTTATCTGGGCATACTACTGTAGCTCTCAATGTCGAGCGTAATTCTATCTTTCTTTTTTGGGTATAGTGTTTTCTGGCAGGAACATAAACTTGCTGGGTTCAACCACCAAAAGAAGCGCATAGAAACGCCAATCCTTCGGGCTCTCATGTGAACCTTTGGGATTGCTTGGGGGCCGCCCGACTAAGGAATGCATGCAAGCTGCGGGAATGATCTGCACCTTTCCTGCGCCAGATGAGCTGTAGTCTAAACTCCTCAAACAGGGCTGTTTTCGGGCCTATTTGGGGGATACTAGGAGTTTAGACCCTAGCTCAGATAGCAGTACTTTGCAAGTGAATGCCAAGAAGATCTTAAGGGAGCTTTTGTATGAGCCGAAGACCCTTGGGCAACATGCAGGAGATTGATTGGCAGACTGGGGTGATTTAAGCAGCTGGTGTGGTAGTCTTGTATTACAGTATTCTAGGTTGTACATTGAGGTCCCCCTATCTTGGGAAACTGCCAGTTGATACTGAGGCGAGTCAACAGCATCAGCCCGCATGCAGTCCGGAAAAGGACAGCTCGAGCAGGCTGTGGACGGCTCTCCTGTTGCAATGTCCTCAGAATACGAGTGTGTTAGTTTCCCCAAATACTGGGGACCCCTATATAGACCCCAAACTGCTAAAATCCTTATTATAGGTCCCGCCAAAAGGTACCCCCCAATTTGAGGAAACCCCTGTGTCTCCAACCCGTGTTCCTAGATCCAATTCTTTGCCGAGGCCAAGGCCCAAGGAATTCTGGTACCTTGGATGCACACAGAGGTTATCAAAGCTGGAAAAGGTCTACATTCAGCAATGTTGTGCTGAGGATGACCACTCTGCATCAGCCGCCAGACTTGATTTGAAGAGGGCTATGCTGCCAGCTTCATTTCTGCAGTACAAAAACTGCTTTAGGGTTTTGGGTTCAGGGTTTGCAAGTGAAGACTGCAGCTTTTTTCCAGCCCTCACGGAAACCAGTTGATGCGGGACTCTGCATTTGTACGCCGCGCCATTTGCATGTATCCGAGAGGGTTTCGGGCACTTCAGGTGTGGCTTTCGCTGCGAGGGCCTGTGCTCCTCTTTGAGATGGATGCGGGACCTGGCCTGAACCCTTTCGCCTTCCTCTACGTGAAGTGCGTCAAGTTGACAGACACTTGGCAGATGTTGGCAATGCCCCCATTCCTACTTGGCAGTGATGATCTGCTACTGCGGCAACTCAGGCTATCGACCCTCCACGGCAGGAGCCTGAACACACAGATGCATTTGGAACCCGAGAGGGTAAGCATCACTGTGCCAGCTGCTCGTAAGGTTGACATTTACGATCGAACGTGGAGATGGCAGTGGCGATACTTCGGACCGGTCAGTCTTGCTGAGCTGATTGGCGTTTTACCCTGCCCTTGAGTCAGCTCGAGGCTCGACTCTTTCTTGCAGGAAGCAGCCTCTGGCAACAGTGGACTCCAGCTTGTAGTCCTCCTGCAAGATGGGCGTGGCTTGGCTGGTGTGCGTGACTGTGCTCGTCCATACACTGTAAGCACTTTGCTGTGCGGTCTCCTGTGAAGCAGCTTGCAGGTTTTCAGGCCTTTCACGTGAAGAAGCTGGTGATGCGTGTCTCTGATGCTTCTGCTCTCAAAACTTGGGTTGAAGCCATCTCCTCTGCCAATGAACTCTGCGGGGAGATCAGTGATGACGTGCCCGTGTGAAAATGTACAATGGGGGATGCATTCCAACTGCATGCGCCTTTCGCCTATTTATGCCTTTCTTGAGCTTGGTCTGTACAGGACAGTCATGTCATGGGGCCAAAGCCTGCCTCGCTGCTCTTGTGCGAGCCTCGGGCTTTGAGTAAGCTGTCTGAGAGGGGAGAGCGGCTGTACAGGTGCCCCTTGTGGCGTGTGCAAGGCGGAGGTACCGCAAACTTGTGGCGGGGCCTCCTCAGAATTCTCAAAGAACGGCCATCTTCTGCAGGTCCAAAACTGGACAGCCGCGCCGCCACAGCTTCTGCACAGTGATGAGAGCTGGCAAGGAGAACAGGGGGGCCTTGCCCTTAGCAAATGCTCGGGGTTTGGGCATCAGTGCCACGGCTCCAGCCGAGGATGATGAGGTGGACGTTGTTGTTATAGGCTCCATTGCACCAGCCATGCATCTTGGATGGTTGTTGCAGCATGTCTTCGGGCAAGAAGACCCCGGATTCTGCGGGGGCAGAGCTGCATGTGAGCTGCATCAAAGTGGCAGAAGATGATTGCAGGATCCGGATTTGGTGGCCTGGCATGTGCCGGCATGCTGGTGCATTCCACAGACCTGTTCAGTGCCAACAGGGCAAGCTTCTTGTCTCGCTTTTGAACTCAGGCACGTGCAGGCCGCGAGGTCTTGGTGGTCGAATCTCATAGCGTTCCTGGTGGAGTCGCTGCCTTACTTGTGGTTCAGATGTCGCCAGAAGCACAAGGAGTCGGAGTAGGCTGAGGCGAATTTAATTTGAGCTCATAATGCGGGCAATTCGATTCCCCAAGCTGTCGACGCACACTACGCCGGGGCAGCGTTGATGTTGATGGGTCGTGGCATCGGTGGCGCTTGCAGTTTCTCGCCCCTTTATCTCTCTCTCATGTGTGCTTGGAGCTCATGGTTTGCTCTTATGGCTGTCGCTTCGTCTTGGTAGCGCAAGCAGAGGGCGGCCTGTTCAAGCTTCACCCAAGTAGGTGAGATGAGGGTAGCCAAGAGTTTGAGGCATGTATGCGTAAATTCAACCTCACAGGGGTGCCCTGCTTGTCCGCCTCACCTGGGGCCCTGTTTCCTGTGCTATTAGATCCTTCATCAAGAGTACCTTTAAAAATTGCTTAGGTGTAAGCAGCATGCTGGACGAATCGCAACATGATTGAACCCTTCGTTTTTGACTCCAGTTCAAGCCGGGACTGCGAGCCTGGAAAAGTCTTTCAAAGCTGTCGGATCAGTTTTGATTTGCATCCTCGATAAGCTCTTGGTGCCGAAGGTTCACAGGCAGAGAGGGTGGGTCCGCTTTAAGGCATCGGGTTTAACAAAACCGGCCATCGTACATGGAGAGGGTGTCGTAGCCTTCCCTTTGTGCCCAGATACATGCGAATCCTTACCACTTGATAGCCATGCTTTGCCTATTTCTGTGGTGTGGTCCTGCTGGCTGCCAAGGTGGCGCATTCGTCCTGTCCTCAGCAACCGAACAAAACAGGCTGGAATCAACGAGAAGTCCCAGGTTTTCGAGACGCGGCTATGAGTTTGATAGTGGACCCAGTGGCGGGCCCGGCCTGCAACCAGCACCAGCACGTAATCGTAAGTTGTGCATTGCTGGGGCCCGGCTTGAGGTCTTCTCTCAGGGTGCTCAATGCCAGTTTCTGCCAACCCTTTGCGATTGGTGCTCAATGCCTTGGGGGAGGAGACTTGCGCCCGTGGGAAATTCTTGAGGTGATGGTCTGCCATTTCCACCTTTGGGGTCATCTGAATTCACATTAATCCTTCGCAGATATCAGGTTTTGGAGCATGGTGCCGGACTTCTTTGTCCAAGGCCGTGTGAGATTCTGTACACGAACTAGCAAATCGTCCCGCAGCTGCCTGGCTCAATTGCAGTTTTGGCGGCACGTATTGGGAAGCCAGGTTGCAATCGCCTTTTGTGCCTCGGCTGACAGGATTTGTGCGATTTGCAGGTTGGCGGTATGACCATGTTGCGCGCTATGTCTGAAAAGCGGCATAGGAAGGATCAAAAGGATGGATTTTGGGTTCCAGCCGGAGTGGTTCGGTTCTGATTGGCCAACGAGAGCATGATCATCAACAAACAATAGCACCATCCAACTTCCACTGTTTGAAAAACGGCAGCGTGCTTGCCAATTTCCCGTGACCGTTCGCGCAAAGGAGGAGGACAACTGCACATGTCCGTAGATCATGTTCCTGCTCAGCCCGGTCCCCCCATTTCAAACCCAAACCTTTGACCAATCAACATTTCACCCCGCCCAACATCTTTTTCGTAGTTGACACCCGCCAAATCTTTTAATTTATGGAAGGTCAGGGCGTCTGCTGGACTACACCCTTTGGAATTTGATAGCCTAGCCTGTGCGAATAAGCGGTTTGACCATTCAATGGTTTTGGTAGTATCAACTTCCAGATTCAACAGGTAATAGAGCCCGGCCTTTCTTGTTTGAAGCCCAGAGCTTGAAATCAAATGGTTTTCCGATCTCACCATAAACCCCGCCAAAAAGCCTGTACATAACTCATGTATACTGTTGAGGATCAGGGGGTCTGCTGGAATACAATCCCCTTTGGCCTTTGCCTGTTTCAATAAGCGGTTGGCGGTTTAACAAGGATTCGATGGTTTTTTGGTGGCATCAAAATCCAGGTTCCAAAGGTAGTCGAGCCCGGCCTTCACATTTAGGCTTGGCATGGAAGACCAAGAGCATTCTGGCCTCATCACAAACATGTTCCAGATTTTTTTGGCCAAGAAACTTCACTTTATTGCCCCTTCCTCCCTCCCCCCAAAAAAACCAAACAGCGACTAGGGGGTCCAGAATCATTTTCTGAAAGCTGTACTTTATTGCACCCCCCTGCACTTATCAGGACCGAGCATTAAACCCCAAATCCTGACCCCTTTTGACATGCAGGCGAATGCCTGGTTCCAGATAGTGCGTGGGCCCGCTGTCAAGCAGGCGGCTTGCTTTCCCAGATCTGCTGTTCCATGCATAACTTGAGGTTCAGGGTTTAGGTCTTACAGCCCCCCCCTTACATAAGTAGATAGAATATGGGGTATATTATTATTGGGGTTATATAGGGACAAAGGAACAGAAAATGGAAGCTACTCTTTAGGGGTTAGGGTTTAGGTTGAAAACCGGCCTATATACTTTGTGGTGCTGCATTCCCGCACAGGATGGATGATGAAAAGCCAGCAGAACAGGCTAATTCTCGCAGTGCAGCTTCTCCTGGGTTGCTGTCAAGGAGCTTACTTTCACAATGCAGTACTACAATAATGGGACCCCATATTTACTAATGTACCCATATTGTTGCAATTCAACCTAAGTTCTTTAACAGCAACCCTGTCTACTCGTGTTTTCCTTGATGTTAGCTGCTTGAGCTTGCCATGCACAGGGGATCGTTTTCCACATCGAGATTGCCCAAGCGCAGGGCCTCCCGAAACCAGAAGTTACCTTCATCCAGATAGCTGGCTTGGGCCTGGAAGAGGACAGCAACATGAGGATACTATGTAAGGTCGTTTTTGTTTTACGGTCTTAGGTGGGTATCTATCGAGTTCCTGAGGAACACTGACGATGGACATCTTGGGACATCTTGGGTGTCTAGTTGGGACAGTATCGCGACTTTGGGTCATCATCCGTTCACATGATGGCGCAAGTTGGCATCGACAAACTGTTTGTCAGGACTACGCTTCTGAGCCCCAGGTGGAGGACCCATGCTGTTGTTGAATGTCCAGTCTGTGAATAACAGGACCCATATCAACAACAGAAAGACAGTACTAATCGCAACCATGGTATCATAGTTGTCATGCCAGTCAGAATCTTCTGTGCATTGTCTGAGGAGTCCGCAGAACCCGGCCCCTTCCTCTTCCAAACCCTGGAAGCCCCTGGGTTGCTGTCAAGGGGCCTAAACTAAGTCACCATAAGATGGGTCTAATTCGGGAGAAGAGTCGATAGCGTTAGTAAACACAAACACACATAGACGCACGTCAAAAAAATGTGGGTATCCACTATGTTGGGAGAGTTCTCCCCTAGAACATGAGCAGATCATGTGGTCTAATCCCGCAAAAGAGATGCACGTAAAAATGCGCGTGTCCCGTCTGAGAAAAATCAAATAACTACATGTATATGTGTATATATATACACACATAGACACATGTGCATGGATATTAGTGTCGCAGTTTCCTTCAGGCCGTGCCCCTTTTTTTGTGGACGTGCAACTTTTTACTGAGGAAACTCACACATATACATATCTATGGTGGCTAACTTACATTTGTACATATCTGTGGTGGCTAACTTACACATATACATGTCTGCGGTAGCTAACTTCCACATATACATGTCTATGGTAGCTAACTTCCAAGCACACATATCTATGGTGGCTAACTTACATGTATACATATCTATAACCCTAAGGCAACATTAAAAATGTTCCTTTTTATAATCGGTCTAAGGAGACTATAGTATCTATGGTGTGAATAGGTGTAAGTTTCTTAGCAGCAACCCAGGCTTTGGCAGAAGCAAAACGTCTCAAGGCCGAGGCCAGAGATGCCGGTGGTATCAGGAGATGAGGGAGGTCTCTAATAATAGCTCCCTCTTACTATTTTTATTTGTTGTTGTTGCTGCTGCTGCTGCTACTACTACTACTACTACTGCTACTGCTACTACTACTGCTACTACTACTACTACTGCTGATGCCGCTGCTGCAAGCATGTAGAAATCATAAGTCTCACACATTGGACGTGGCCAATCGCCGTGCCTGGCTCCTGCCATTCTACTGATAGCCTGAGTGTCAGGCAGAGGCAGCTGGGGGCAAGAAGAAGAAAAATGAGGCAGGTCAAATTGCCTTTCTTGAGCACCCTCGGCACGTTTCAATATGTCAGGTAAGCTTTAAGGAACAATTCCAGCTCTGGCAAGATGATTTGCAAGATCTGAACCTGTCAGGATGACTCCCGCCCTGCCTCCATCGACCCGCCGACGGCTTTGTGCCGCATAGCGAGGCCCTGCCAAAGCGACGGCGAAAGGCCAGCCCACCATGTGCCATTTCCGAGCTCAACGCGAAGTAACACTTTTTTGGTATGTACGCACCACTGCCTGGAAGCCTCGAGCGCTCGCATGGGGTTGCCGGCTTGTCTGTTTCTGCCACCCACTAGGGACATAGACACGCCGTGCAAACTCTTATCAAGGTGTAGGTACAGTAGGCGTTCTAGAAGCAGTCCAATTCTTCAGCCTCGCCTCAGGCAACGACTTCTGGACAGCGTCTGCACGCCCATGCGGTTAAAGCTGTTTCGGAACGGTCCAACGCCCGTTGCTTTGGCAGAAGCTTCTCTTGACCTGAGCGCCTTGATCCATGACACAGCCGTGCTGGAAGTCGATGTGGACTTGAAATGGGCGGAACCACTGCTTGGGGAGCTCCGAGCTGAGTTTGAGCAAGAAAGAGCAGCAGCTGCAGAGGCGGCGGCTGCCAAGGCGGCGGAGGCAGAGGCAGAGGCAGATGCAGAGGTGCAGGAGACTCCAAAGGAGGAGGAGCCAGCACCCACCTTCTCAGAGCCTCCTCCAGGACGACTGCTGCTCAAGATCTCGACGGCTGCCCCGATTGGTCGGATTTTGTGTCCTGAAGACTTGCATGACTGGGCTGTTCTCACCGTGCGGCTCGACGGGCTCTACCATTTGCCTCAGAAGCTGCTTGAGGCCGGTGGCCCACTCCCAGAGCCTGGTACGGCCGAGGGTCCCTTGGAGACACATCCGCTCCGCTACTGCATGCGTGTGTTGGGTTGTGACTTCAATGCGGGACAACTGGTCCTGCCGCACATTGATCTTCCGCCGGAAGAGGGCGAGGCTAAGCCGGAAGGGGTCGAGGAGCCGGCAGTCGAGGCTGCTGAGCCTGAAACTCCGGCGTCTCCTGAGCCAGACATTTCATTTGACATCGGCATGGAAGAGTTCCAGGAGAGCCTGATGCGTGCAGGCTTTCCTGGCAAGGATGGCCCAGCAGTCTTCAACTTCCTTTGCCGACCACGCACTGGGCTGGGAGGGCGTATCGGCCTGCAGGATTTCTTGAGGTTGCTGGAGATAACAGTGCCCGCAACCCCACAGCAGCTGATAGAACTGCACAGCTTGCTTGTGGAGAAGCACGAGAACTTGGAGACAGCCTTCTCAGCCTTGGATACCGAAACAGAAGGGTTTTTGACTCGCCAAAGCTTTGCTGCGGGAATTGAGCAGCTGGGAGTCAGCAAGGAGGCTGAGGAGATCGAAGCCTTGTTTGTAGCGCTGGATTCTAGTCGAGCGGGATATGTCGCGCGAGAGGACTTTCGAGTATTGGGAGTCACCAAGCGTTTAAAAGACTTGGAGGCTGCTGCAAGGGCATACAGATGGTTGCTGTCTGCCAGCGGCTCCTTGCATTCGCTGCTTCAGCAGGTGGACGCACAAAACGCTGGGGCCATCACAAGGGATGCCTTCGTTTCAGCTGCAGCACAATTAGGCTTTGCAGATGAGGAGGCCCTTGACCATGCCTTTGCTTTTGCCTGCCTTGTTGAGACTGACGTCTCCGTGACCTTGGGCCACCAGGCCTTTCAGTCTCTTGCATTGCTGGAGTCGGTCTCCTCAATTCCTGAGTCCTTGGCAGCACTAGAGACGCTCCTTTTTGGCGAGGAAGGATTCTTGGGCAATCCCGGCGAGGCTGCCCTACAGATGCTGCTGGATGACCCACATGCTGCCAGCATCAGCTGTCCAGAGTTTTTGGCCGGTATCGCCAGCTTGGATGCAGCGGGCACCATGGCAGACGCGCAGGCTCTTTTCTTTGTCTTGGACTCCGCAGTGGAAGGCAAGTTGGGGGCAGATGCTCTTGCCTCGCTGCAAGCAGTCAATTCGACCGAGCAGTGGAGACGCCTTGCTGCTTGCCGATCTTTCATTGAGTCTGGGTTCGGTGGCATTGACCACACCACATTCAAAGCGCTTTTTGACAGCCATGCAGAGCATTTTCTCGAAGCCGAAGAGTCTCTCCCTCGTGTAGAGTGGTCCAGCAGTGAAGTCAAAGCTTATCGAGGTAGGGAGTGGCTGCAAAGGCTTCTCAATACTTTGAGTGATGATCGTGGCCGGAATGCTGCAGCAGACTCACTTAGCCAGACTGGAGGGACATGGTTGTACATGTTCCCGGTCCTGGAGGGACAGGCAGCTGTAGACTTCAAGGAGTTGCCTGAAGCCCAAGCACCACTGGCTAAATTGGCAAGGTGGCACCACGCACAGGCATTCCTGGATCTGCGCCGGATCCTTGCACCTCCAGATGCCTGCAAAGGTCCTGAGGTGGAGTTCAGGGCTTTTCTGACGCAGGTCGGAGCCCAGCCAGCGGGCGAGTTCGGTGATGAAGAATATTCAACGCCGCCTTTCAAGGCTTGTCAGACCTATGTGAAGGGCATCCTTCGCCTTGACCGTCCCCTGATGCGGCTGTGCCCCAGAGATGTGCGGCCTGCTCTGCAACCGTCGGGAGAGCCTTACATCCCACCGCCTCCCGAGAAGCGCCCTCCTCCTACTGTAAATGAGGAGCTCGAGAAGGAAGCCAGCAAGGTCATCGCACGGCTTTCCTTTGAATTTGCTCAGTGGTGCCACGAGGCCGGGTACGAAGAGGCGAAACTTGGTGCAAATGCCACTCCAGTGCTGGGCCACAAAGGGGTGAACCGTGGAGCGTTTCTGCAATGGCTGCAGGAAGATGGCACTGCCTTCAAGGATTTGGGCAACAAGCTTCGACCCGCTATAGTCCGTCTCATGAGGGCTGAGAACAAGACAGGCCCATCGTGCGGACTGAACGGGAATGAGAATGATGCCAGGTATTCCTACTTGTATGTCTACATCCTGAAGCACCTCTTCCGTGCGCTGAACGCGGATGTCGAAAAACATCGGCGCCTGCGGGATGAACAGCTGTGGCGGAGCCCGCAGGCCCAGCCGGACAATGCACAGGATGCTGATGCTGCACAGGCAGGGGCACTTTGGGCGGTGATGTGATTCAGAAAAGGGAGGGGCCCATCTGAGGACAGCCAGAAGCAGGACGAGCTGCTCAAGCGCTTGATTTTTGAGCATGAGCTGGTTGGGGCCGGGCACCGTGCCTGCTGCTGCAACAGCGATCTCGTAAAATTGCCCAGCAGTGCATAGATGGAGAGCTAGTGGGAGAGAGTTGAAGTATGAGGTGCTCGAGAGGTGTATGAGGAGTGGTTGGCCTTGGAGCATAACGTCGAAAATGGGGAGGCCACTCGTGCACATGCTGTGGTAAAAGCTGTAGCACTCTAAGATGCTGCTTCCCAAGAGCTGCACAAGCACCCGTAAAGTCTATGCCCTTTGTAGTCAGTCATAATCGCAGGCGACGGTTTCCATGTGACTCTGAACTTTCTAGCGAGACCAATGGATTAGCTTGTACTGCTTGCCAGGCTTGGTGCAGTGCCTTGGCTTTTGAATTCATGTTTGCTTTGGGGTTAGTAGGGAATAAGGGGATATAGTATATTGGGGCTATATAGGGATTACATTCCTTATTCCCTACTAGCCCCCAAGTTGTGGCTAGCAGGCTGGCAGGCCAGCAGGTACCAGCATAAGAACAGCTTTTGCAATCCAGGCATGTTGTCAAAAACATTCTGGCTGAGGCTTTGCCCGTTTCCTCATGCGCTGGGACCTGAGCGGCTGATTCAGTTATATTCCCATATTACCTACTATATAAACCCCGTGTATACCCTGTAGTTTCCATTTTCTTTTCCATTATCCCTATATTACCTCTATAACCCTATACCAAGGATGCGGACAGAGCCAACTCGATGCCGAGCGGGTGCTGCGATGCGCGATCTCACTAAGGCTGCTCAACCGCAGCACCAGGAAAGCAATATTGTACTATATACAGTACTATTTTACGATGATACTACATTACTACAATACTATCGTACTGTAGTATTAGATTAAAATATTAGAAGTACCTTGAGCGGCTTCGTTCAGCAGCTGCCTGTCCGGCCAGAGTGCATTATGGTCCCTACGTAGCTCCTTGGATCTCCTTGGGGTAGATAGTTTTCAGCTGAGGTCGGGCAAGGAGGGGCCGGAGCTCCTGGAGGCAGATTGCAGATTGACATGACCATCATGACCCGCACTGTTGCCAGGTGTCCTTTCTGGCTTGTCTGCTGCAGAATCAGGGGCAGCCATGCTCCCTGGACACGGAGGAAGTCAGGAGCTTGCTAGACAAAAGATGGGTTTGAGTCACGGCAAGCCTTCAGAAAGTTACTCGAAGTCCTGTCAGCATGCTGAAAACTGGTAGCATGCAGGACAGCGCGCTTTGAAGCGGCACTGGCCATGATGGAGTGCTATACAGACAGGCCCAGAAGCGCTGACAGAGTGGGAGCTGCTGTTGGCTGAAGTGAGTGCTCGCAGGCACGCCTTTGACCGCATGCCTATGTACGTCCTTTTCCTGATTTTTGCGGTGGAGGCGCGACATGGACATCAGTTCGTTGGGTTGGTTATGCTGGGTCTGACGCAACGTGCCTTGAGGCCCATGCTTTGCAGACGCAAGCGCTAAACTTAGATGGCCTTTGAATTTGCATGTCGGCTCTCATGTTCTGGAAGGCATCAGTCGTCGTCAGTCAGCGGTACATAAATTGACGTCAAAGCACAGACAAAGGCGGCGGCCGCAGAAGGGGAAGAGGCAGCGATGATGGCTGATCAAGGTGACAGACTCTCTGCAGAGGCCATTTTTCCACTGGTTTGCAGGCCAACCAGTTTCTTCTGCGGTTCATTTTATATGAAGTTTTGGCTTTGTTTAAGATGGTTGCAGCGATGGACCAGCAGCTCCTCTCGGGGTGCCAATGCATGCTAATGCTGCATACAGCAGATGTGAGGGCTTCTGGCCATCTAATGCAGCAAGTGAGTAAGCAAGCACTCAAGTTGCACACCTTCGTGAGCAACATTTGGGCATTTGCTGCACCAAAAAATCCCATTCGTTGTTCTGCCGTCCGTGCACGTAGTATGACTGAGTTGTATTCAAAGATGCCGCTCATGATTGGTCAAATTTCTGGAGCAGGTGCTGAGCAGAAATCTGGTAACGCGCAGACACATGAATGGTTCCCATGCGATCAGGCGTGCAAGTACCTCGAGCTTGCGCGCTCCTCGCCGGATCGTTGGACCAGCAACTTGACTCGCGGGGCAGAGCATTGCATGCAACGACCAAAAATGCGCATGAAGTCTCCGCGCGCAGTATGTCGAGAGAAGTATGTTGCCTGCTAAGGGACTTTGGACTCGGGGTTGCAAGGCAAACCTCGCTTCCTGGAGCTGGAGGCTGGCTCGTTACTTGGTGTCGGGCAGCCGGGGAAGCATTCGAAGATTGCCGGGACATACTGCTGAACTCTGCGATGGTTAGAAACATGATGGTGCCGACCAGGCCCTGGTAGCAAAGGAGCAGATCAACAGAGGAGAGGTTCCTGAGGCCTTGGACATGTTGTGCGGTGCGGCTGAATGGCATACATGGTATCATTTGCCAGCCCAACCTGACCACGGAAAGGTGCCGGCAGACAAACCTTCCGAGCCTGAAGCATCCCGGCAAGCATTGCAACATTATGATGGCTTGCACACAGTAGAGTCTGACAAGGGTCCAGCCAGCTGTGTGGGGAGGCTGCTTCTTGCCCAAAGAAAACCTCTAATACAGCTACATGCTACGTGGACGGTAAAAGGAATATGTGGCTCTGAAGGGGCTGCCTTGCATTTGACAGCCTCAAATGCCTTCGCCTCCTTTTGCAACTCCACGCGAGCTGAAAAAGGGTGCTACCGGGTTTCCGCTTTAGTCTTGTGAGCGCCGGGAGAGAAGCGCCATGCTCGTCACCGTTGTTGTATAGACTGCACAGGGCAACTGCCACATGATTTGGAGATTTCCTCGTCGGGGTTGCGTCTTGCCGTTGGAGTGCTCTTGGAGTCTGTTTGGTTCCGCGTCACGCATTCATGCCCTTCTTGCCTTGCTTCTCTGGATCCACCACTCATACCTTCTTCCATCCAGCTTTCTCTATCTCCAATCGCATGCCTAGAGAGGGGAATGTAGAGGATTTCTGGTTTCAATCAGAATCAGAATCCAAGGCCCAAAGCTTGCAGCTTCCCTCTTCGGGGTTTGGCCAGCATGTGTTGTTTCCCCTTGAGATGGAGGACTGATTGCGACCAGTACTGAGCCTTTCGGTGTTATCAAATCAAATCAAAGCACAAGGGTGCTGGTGCCTGATGCTACCTGCTTGGCTGTAAGAGGTCACTGTCCAAAACAGGGTGCCGTTCCCCTCATTGTACTTGGGAGGTCGATGGTGTGTTAGTTGCGTAGAAGGGTTGTAAGTCCGCTAATGAAGTCGTAGCCACGTATAATACTTGTTATTGCAACCCCAGTGATACCTACCGATTAACCTCCTAGAGCAAGAGCACTTGCGCCTGCCCTGTGGCTGTGAGGCATGGCATCCGGCAAAGAGGGCGGTGTTCCCGGATGCCAAGTCTTTGCGTCGTGTACCAGAAAGCGAGGATGTCGGACCCTTACGCACAAAGGTAGCGGGAAATCAAGGTTGTGAAGGGTTGGATGAGTGAAGCTGAGGCCAATGCTTTGGAGCTGGTTGACTTGATGCTGCACTTCGGCCTCCCAGACCACGCAACTTTCCTTTTGACGCATGCCGCCCAGGCAGAGCAAGCTTCAGCCGTAGGATTAGAATCAGGTTTAAGTTTGAGGTTCTACCAACAAGTAGCTGCAATCCTACCAGGGGTAGCCGCTTCCTTAGAAGACTTAGCAGACGCATCTTTCCAAGGTTTTCCAGAATAAGGGGCATGCCGGTATGCCTTTTCGGGGGTAAATTGGGAGATTGTCCCCTAATAATGGAGACTCAAATGGAAATGAACATGGAGAATGAAATGGAAGCTTAGATTATATGGGGGATAATAGGGGTTATAGTCTAAACTCCTAGTATCCCCTAAAATCCCCTATAATAGTCCCCTATATACTCCCCTATATAGCCCCCCTTTAGTTTATCCCGTCACCCTGGCAGGCCTACGGCTTCGTGGCTCCGAGTACAGCAGCCAGCGAGCGCTGCCAGCTGCAGCTGCTGAAAGCTGCAATGCTCTCGAAGGCGGGCGCTGCATGGCGCTGCTTGGGATTCTGCAGGTTGGGTAGATGTTATGCAGTATAGAAATTCGGTCAGAAAGGGGCCAAACTGTGCGAAGGGATTGTTTAAGGGTTTCTGCTTCCTTGAAAATAGCATCGTCTTTATACATCCACGACTACAGAGCCCTCCTCCTGCAGATGCCACTTTGAGAAAGTCCATTTGTGCACCAACCACATGGGGAGCAACGAGAAGCAGTATGCCTGGTAACAACGAGCATGGGTTTGGTGTTGGCCATCATAGAGCATGCCCTCGATGCTGTGCGGAAGGATTGGCCTGGAGCAGAGACCATCGTCGAGAATCTCTTCGGCAGCAGAGGCGTCGCCTGTACTGCGCAGATGTCAACTCCTTAGACCACGCACACCTTCGCGTGGCCAAAGCAGCAGCAACCAGAGAAACAAAATGCTGAACGTAGCACAGAGGCATTGCCCAGCTGAACGTAGCACAGAGGCGTTGTCCAGCAGTGCAGGAGCGGATCGCACCCCCGAAGCCCATTCTCTTTTGGGAGAGTGCCGCTTCCGCGCCGCCAGGGAAGCTGGGGCCAACAGTCCCTCGATGCGCACTGGAGGTTTTGATAATTTTGGATGTTTCCCAGTCCCAGCATCTGACTTGATGCATCCTGATGTCAGTTGAGTAGCAAAACAAACGTTATGTGGAAGCTTTTGTAACACGGAAAGAGAGTGGAGTTTTGGCTGAGCTTGTATAGTGGGAATGGGTGTGCTAGATGTCTCGTTTCGCATAAGTTGCATGGGCATGGCGCAGGTTTCGTTGTTGGAACAGACGCCGCATAAGCAGAAAAGCCCACGTGCTTAGGCTTGCAAAATATCTGTCATGGCTGATTCGGCTCAAATCTACAGGGAGGTATCGCACCCAGCGTATACATCCTGTACTGAAAAACAAGGCCTCACAGCAAATCTCAGCATGCTCCTGTGCAGACATGGCGCGCAGCAGCTTGAACAAGAAAGCGCAAGACCTGGCCTCGCTCGCACGAGAGAATGTCTCCATGCAGGCACAGCAACGAGATCACGGGAATCTTGGCTGCGCTTTCTTGCAAGTCCGCCAGTCTGTGGCTCTTCAGCTATACTATAGAGGACGCAACGGCAAGTAAAGAGCTTGCCCACTGAGGCGGCTTTTTGAATTGTCAGAGCTTTGCGAGCAAGCCTCGCCCTGGAGTGCGGCACGAATCGTCGGCGAAGGCGATGGAGGCTTTGAGATCTGGTACCTTGTCCACATTGAGCCAGGTGCCATCTCAACTGCAGAGCCATGTCTACCTGCGGTTTGTACAGCGTGCGGGGCTTGTGCATATCAGGTTGGGCAGCCTCAATGATGCGATGGATGCTCGAAGCCTTGAGGCTCACAACATTCAAGCAGTCCTCAACGCTGCGTGGAGCGGATGCCTCTACGCCTGGGCGTTCCGGGCATCGGTCTCAGACGCTCACGGCTCTTCTGAGGCTGCCTTGACTGACTTGCAGGCAAGGCCCTTGACTTTGGGAGAGTGGTACCTAGCGATGGACGCTGAAGATCACCCAGGGTACCCCATCGCCCATCACTTCGAAGAGGCCGTGGCTTTCCTGCGCCGCTGCCAGGCAGCACGGCGAAACGTTTTGGTGCATTGTGTGGCGGGGCTGAACAGGTCTGCCTGTCTTTGCGCAGCTTTTCTTATGAGAGAGGGACACTCAGCTGCTGGTCCAAGCCTTTCCGCAGCAGATGCGGTTAACTGGATCTCGCAGAGAAGAGCTGGTGTATTCCAGAATGTGGGCTTTTTGAAGCAACTTCTCGATGAGGAAGGTTCCGACGCCACTCAAGTCTCCTGCGGCCTTGAAGCAACTGCGGACAAGTCGTTGCAGGAACCAATGCGCTTGGAGTTTCACCTCGGGACCATAGAAGAGCGGCACGAAGGGATGGCTCCACATGCTGCGGCGGAAGAGCTGCCGAGGCCGCAGTCCCGGTTCAAAGCCTCCCGAAGACATGTGGGCTGAAGTGCAACATGCGGCATCTGGAGCTTTAGTACCGGACGCTGGTCCTCAGGCACGACGAAGTTTCAGAGTCCGCAGGACATGTCCAACGGCCCACTCATCTTCCGGAGCTTGCAGTGGTCCGCGTTAATGAGCTCACTCACTGTGCCAGCCAGACGTCGCTTGGAAGAAGCCCCCCTCTTCTACAGCTTCAATGCTAGGGATGTCGACAACTATGGCAAGGCCTGAGACCGCCAAGCAGATGTGTTGCTACCGCCTGGAAAGATTCCTGTTGACAGTTGACACTCTACCCTTTCTGTCGCAGCGGAAAAGGACTTTATTCATCCGATTGTACGAGATGTGACAACAAGTGGAGCTACTTATGGGATGCTCATAGCACATCTTGTGTGCAGTGAGGTGCCGGCTATCAACCCGCGCTGGAAGCCTTTGAGACAGCGCTTTCCTTCATTGTGAAACCGGAGGCACGGCAAGTCACGGGACACAGCAGCAGGTAGTCATTCATGGCGACATTGCTTTGACGCTGAGGGTTTTTCTGGATGAATAGCTGTCTGCCACTGGAGGTTGAAGTGCAACCAGCGCCCGGTCCATCTCCCATGGAAGATCCAGTGCTGCACCTTCGTGTTCCCCTGCCACACTGTTCTGACCCATGTTTGAATCAAGAAGAGTTGGCCCAAAGCCAGGTTGCCAAGATTCTGCACCTCCAGGCAGAGGAGTCGGGGCCATGAAGCTCTACACAGCATTATACAAGGGATGTCGCTTTCAGCTTGCTTGTGCCTGCCATGTCTCTATCCATTCCTCCTTGCCTCTTGCAATTGGTTTTGTGTTGTCGCACCAGGGGACGTAGGTCACGGAATGAAGCAACATTATCACAGCACAGACTTCCGATGCAGATTTGACTCGAGTGGTCTTGATACCGTAGTGTTGATACTGGCCGTGAGGAGCAAGGCTTTGAAGATGCTGCAGTGGTAGCTCGTGTCTTGGCTGGCTGCCAGACTTTACACAGATACGCGGAATGAGTCACCCTACCAAAAGCAGGGCTGGCAATGCAGAGGAAGACCGGGGAGGATGTTGGTGGGACGTCCAAGTCATAAAAGGAGGTGCAGCGCGGAGGACGGTCATCAAGAAACGAGCATGTGTTGTGCTTGCAGCCTTGGGTACAAAAGGCTCAACTGACTCCGGAAGGCAGTTGAGAGTACTCGATGATGTGAGATTTCGTATCTGAGGTGCCATTAAGCACTACAAGAAGTCGGTCATGGTGGCCCCAACGGCAGAAGCGTGGAAATGCATCGGAGCCTTGCTGCATGATTTGAAACGACTTGAGGGTCGGGATGATCCACAGCTTCTGGTCCATGTAGGAAAAAAGTCAAGCAAGGACAGCCCCCCGACTTAAAAAAAACGTGACCTACCTGCACTTCCCGCAGCATCACAATCCCTTTTGCTAAAGATTCTAATCCTTAATTTAGGAACCACTCAAAAAGGGAGCCCCCCCACTCCCCAAATCCTCTTGTGAACCGTGTTTGGTGTCAGGCCTTTGCACCTACCGGCGTGTGCAGTTTGAGACCTCACGTGTGCGCAGAGACCGGAAGCTGCAGGAGGCCAGGGAAGGGTTGATAGGGGGGTGCCCCACAATTTGGGGTACCCTTTAAAGGGGGTTATAAGGGTTGTGTAGGGATATATAGTTTTTTTTTGGGTTTCCCAAATTTGGGGGTACCTACTATAATGGAGAATCAAATCGAAAAGAAAATGGGAAATGAATTGGAAACTTGGTTTATATGGGGGATTATAGGGATTAGGGTTTCCCAAAATTGGGTGTACCATTTTATGGGGTCCCCATAATAAGGATCAGTATATTTGGGGGTCTGTATTGGGGTCCCCTCTGTATTGGGGTCCCCTTATTTTGGGAAATTATCATATCATTATGGCTAGGACTAGAATCTTCGCGGTGATTATTCGCGGTGATGATTGTTTTACTTGTGATGGCTATGACTGCAACCATTAGGATTCGTACTGCTCTCAGCTCTTAGCATTATGATTGCCAGGAAATCCTTAGTATTGACGCTACAGGCTTGCCCGTATCTAGATTTGGGATGTATGATTTTGTCAAACTATAGCACCAAGATGGTTGTCAGGCATCAAAGTACCTCCAAGAGGCCAACATGCTGGACAAAGAGCGCCCAGACATCCTGGCTTGGCTAACCATCTGCGCTGTTGAGCTGGGTAACGTTCAGATTGCCAAGCAGGGATTCCGACAGCTGATGCAGTTTGAAGATCTTTTGGAATCATCTGTCGCCTTGGAGCTCGCACGAATTTTTCTGCGATTCAGCAACGAACAGAAGGCATCAGAGTGGGGTGGCGAGCGCGGGCGACTGGTGCAAGATGGGCGATATGCCAAAGAAGCTGCCATGGTTGCCAAGATGATTCTGGCACGTGCAGAAGTGGGAGAAGCCAGGCAAATCTTGGCTTGGTCTCTGGCTCTGGACGGAGAGCATGCGGCAGCTGCTGGGGAATTCTGTGCCGCAATGCCACTGCTGGTGGTGCAAGATCCGAATACTTTGGATCAAGCAGCTGAGATGGCCAGGCACTGTGCATCCATGGTTCCTGGCGAGCCCCAGCTAGTGGCAATGGTGGAGGAGGCTCAGGGGCCTGTGTTCTTCCTGACTGTTATGATGTGTGGTTGTTGTAATTCACGCTCACACTCATCTGAAGCTGGAGTATTGCATGTGCACTGGCAAGATTCTCCTTATGAATATGGGGCTCCGCAATTTCTCTCAGAGCTAGCCAGAGCTGCAGCCCCTTTGGTCTGTTGTCTTTGTATTGTTGAAGTTTGTCGTTGAGCAAAGACCAGCACCTGACGGGGTGACCGAAGGGTGACACGTGAGGCTCACGGCATAGCACTGCTCGTCGACTCTGTTGCCTTTGTATGTGCAGTCTCAGATCTGGCAGGGACGGCAACCGAACCAGATTACGAGGATGAGACATTACATCCATAAATCAAACGTGGGGCTCAAACGTCGGACAACTTGCTGTCAATACAGAATCCACACATACGCCCCAAACGGGTACTATCGTCCCGTATAAGGGGTCCCCAAACTCTAGGACTCTAGGGCCCAACCCAAATGCCCTTGATGAAAGCGATCGTGATACCCACTCTGCTGAAGCTTCCTGTGCCAGTTGGTTCTCCCCTCACTGACAGGAAAATCAGCACGATTTCCTAAAGTTCGTATTAAAGACAGGGCTTCAACAAATTTCTGCTGCGCACGAAACACAGACAGTGCTAATGCAAGATGTGACATAAGCTTATGCATGAAGAAGTGCTTACCGTCTGAAGAATCCGTTGGCCACTGACTGGCCATAGTGCTACAGGCCTCTGAACCAAACACAGTCTGATGCTGGATCATGATTTCAAGAAGTTCAAGGTCTGATTGGCTAGGCGCTCTTTTTTCTTGTGGTTGTCGCCAGTTTCAACAGCTGGGTAGTTTCCAAAATTAGGGTCATGTTTGGGTACCCGTTAATAGTAGGTGCCGTAGTATAATCTATAACCAAAGGGGGCCCATAATTTTGAGAATAACCCGAATACTAATATGTAGCCCGGCTAAAGCTGCCTTTGAAACATACATCTGATAGGGGCCGAGAGCGGCATGCACGAGCCATGAGCCATGCACATTGCGGAAAGATGTTGTGATGTTGCGCTATGTGGCAGTTTCCTGAAATAGGCGGACACCAATATAGACTCTAGACCCAAAAATACGATAATCCATATTACAGGACCCCCAAAATGGTACACCTAATTTTAGGAAACACCCAATCCTTATATGCCCCTATATAACCCCTTATTTCCCCCTTTAAGGGTACATGAATTTCGAAGGCTATTGGGGCTGCTATTGAGCAGCAAGCCGCTCATGCAGACGCCGCGAGCAGCGCTTTCGAAGGCGTCAGTGAAGATGGCCAGGCGAGCTCTGGAAACGATTTTTTACTGGGGGTTTTGGGTGGGGGATTGGGTTTAGGTTTTAGGGTTTAGGGTTCAGGGTTTAGGGTTCAGGGGGCTAGTAGGGAATTATTGGGGTTATTTATAGGGATAATGGAAAAGAAAATGGAAACTACTATTTAGACTTTAAGGTTTAGGGTTTGGGGTGGATATTGGGGTTGTATATGCTGCGGGGACTTCTATCGCGACCATAGGCCATGGCATTGTGCAAGCCCAAATGAGATCCTATAAAGAAGAATGGAAAAGAACATGGAAGCTACTACCGTATATTGATATATTGGGATACAATACTTACTAGGGTTAGTAGGGAATAAGGGATGGGGATTACACAGGGATAGCATTCCCTTACTCCCTACAAAGGACCAGTAAGAGTTGTGGTTGTCTTGTGCCTTTTTGAAAGTCCCCCGCACGCAGCCTATAGGGGTGTTGATTTTGGGCCTTCCGGGTTGCTGTGACGGATCTTTCTGTAAGTGACCATAGCGGGTATATAGTGATTCATACAGTTTCCCCAATATAGTAACTTAAATTAAGGTCCTTAAATCCTTATACTCCCCTAGTTTCCATTTCATTTTCCATTGTCTTTTCCAGCTGATTCTCCATAATGGGGGGGGGGATAATTTCGCCTAAAATAAGGGGATTATTAGGGGTTCCATAATTTTTTGGATCCTTCATATCCTAGTCTGGAGCCTAAACCCTAAACCCTAACCCCGAAATAGTAGTTGCCATTTTCTTTTGCATTATCCCTATATAACCCCTAGTACCTCCCTACAACACTGGTTCTGGGAAGTTCCTTAGCAGCAACCCAGTCTTCCCTGGCAGGCTCCAGAGCTGGAGGCGGAGGCTGCTCCGGCAGATGCGGAGTCACCAGGAGCGCCACCAGAAAGCTCATGAAGTCATTGAGTTAGGCGGGACAGGGTTGGTGTAGGACGTGTACTGCTTACAGACATTCTTGGTGCATGAGATGTACTTTTGTTTCATGCGGAGGTGCTCTGGCTCTTTGAGGGAGATCTGACTGATTACTGCTTCTTGGCTAGAGCAGCTGTGAACAGCATGGCCGCCTCAGCTACAGAAGTTCAAGGTAGGCAGTCGCGTGGAAAGCTCGAGTGCAGTTGCCGGTCCACACCGCACTATCACTGATCTCTCTACCTGTATTGCAGATATGCACCTTCCGCTACCCTGCGACTAGATGCAAATGAGGACGTGTAGCAAGCAAGTCGCTATCTCCACTGCCGCATATGATAGGATGACTTCGGATAGCAAGTGTAGAACTTGAAAGCTGCTTCAGAGGCGCTGGCTTCTGCTCGGCCCATCATGTCATAAAATTTGGCTTTCCCCTCGCATGTTTCACCCGCAATCTGAAGCCTCCTCAGCACCGGACAAAGTTGCAGGCTTCGCATTCAAGACATGTGCGAGAGAAGGTGTCAGCAGATAGTACCAGAACCAAGTTGTTTCACTTTTGCAAGGAGTCTCACCCTCAGTATTCCCAACAAATTTCGAAAATTCTGAGACGGCCGGGGCTTCTCTGGTTGAGGTCTGTCTGCGGGCCTCCTTAGATTGCGTAGTTTTGCCTGGGCTCCCATACCCATCAACTCAGTCTTGTTTCCCAAGCTAGCATCTAGTAGAATGCAAGGAAGTCCTGCTTTGTTGGGAAGCGGGCAGGGCAGCCAGCACAGGCATGGCGAAGATGATCCTGTCTTCCAGCCCCTTGTGGCCGATTCTCAAGCAAAAGCCTAGCAGACCCACCAAGCCTTGCTGGTTGACTCTCGCAGCATCTATCACTGACATCCTATGCTTTTGTAAGTAGACAGCAACCTCTCTCCTCCCAGCATTTTGCCGAATTGAGGCCCAATGGCAAGCTTTCAGGGCCTTCGAAAGATACCATTTGTGCTCTATCGCAGCGGCACGTCAAGAGGCCTTTTCTTGCTGGAGAGTGATTTGCCTCCACGCGGAAAGTTGCGAGATGAAGTGCTATGTCGACTCATGGGAAGCGGGCATCCGCAGCAGATCGGAGGTTTCGGTGGAGGCTGCGGTCCGACCAGCAAGGTTGCCGTTGTGGGTCAACACTCACAGCCCAACTCTGTGACGTACTGCTTTGCCCAGTGTGGTGTTGATGTTGCCGAAGTTGACCACTCTCACGGTGACTGTGGCAGCTTGACATCATTTTCGTACTCTTGACTGTCGTGTGATGCGTACGCGGGTGTCTCTAGGTAGCTCGACAAGCTGAGGCAACATGCTGGCGGCAGTGGCGCCGTTTGCACTTGAGAAGGGTTTGCTGCGCAGCGAGCCAAGTGGACATCCGGCAACGCACAACATCACGATCCACAGCCTCAACACGGGTGCAGTATACGAAGCACATGTGCCAATCATGGTTGGAAGTGGCCAGCCCTTCGTGCAGTACAGCGGCGAGTGTAAAATTCCTGGAATTCCAGGAGCCGCTGCCCCGCTGCAAGTTGCATCATTGGGGGTGGCAGGGTCACAGACAGGCAAGCTGCTGCCAACCGGAAATGCAAGCGACATTTTCAGCGCGGGCAAGCGATTGGGCTCGGTGGCCGTCACCCTGGTAGACTTCGCACGAGCTCTTGTTGTGCTGCATGCAGATGACGTTCTGCCAACGTTCGGGTACACGAGTCTGAATGAGCTGACGATCTCGCAGGTGCAGCATGATGCTGCCTTGTGCGAAGATCTTGAAGACCTGCGGTTACAGGCTGGGCTCGCGATGGGAATGGGCGACTGTGCTGGACATGATGCGCCCAAGCTAGCAGTAGTGGGATCCGCAGAAGGAGGTGTTGGAGAGCCGGGAGGTGGTTCCTTTGCATGCAGGTACTTGGTTCAGCCTGGGCGCCGCGAAATGCATCCAACCATTGCGATGACAGCTGCACAAGCATTGGGCGCAGCCTGCCTCGTTGAAGGCGGCGTTGCGAGAAGAGCACTGGGACGCACTCCTGCCCCAGATGTGGAGGTCGATGAGGTTTTTACTTTTGCTATCCAGCATGCCAAGGGCACTTTCCCTGTGAGCATCGGTACGCAGCCTGCCTCAACAGATGGCTTCGGCCATTTTGCACTGGGCGTACCCCATGCTGGCAGATACACCACCACTGTAATGCCGATAGCTGAAGGAACTGCTTTCATCCAGAACTGAACAAATGCTGCAACCGATGCTGACTTGCTGATTGCAAAGTTGAGGCTTCAGCTCTAAAGAAGGGTTGGTATAATGGAAGGTTTCTTTCTGTAACGCTTGCGGGCACCAGCATGCTTGGGGCGTCTTTGACAGTAACTATGCCTGACGTTCTTTCGGATGTCATATGGGTGTTTCTGAAAGCTGAAGGGCCTTTTCTCAGCGTACCGCTTCTTCCTTCTGCTCACTTGCGAGCAGTGCTCTGCATTGACTCGATGCTGCGTGGCTTCCAGCAGGTAGGGACGTTCATGCGGCATTGTTGTCCATGCAGGAAGTGCTGGAAACACCACTGCAGCAGAAAGCCAACCCCTGTAGCCTATATAGTGCCTTGTGAAGCCTTTCATACCCAGAATATCCACGAAGTCCATTGGGAGTGCAGTAAGTTGTCCTCCTCATGGCGCCCGGGGTTTAGAGAGACTGGCCTTTGCATCTTGGTGTCTTTGCAACATGCCATCACAGAACTGGGGTGGCGATGGGCGATTTGCACGGTGAAGAGCCCGGTGAGGATGTGTCTGACCTCCCAGAGGCCACATCCGAAAATTCAGATGATGCACCGAAAAGTCCAGAGGCAGGATCGACAAAGGGTGACCTCAAGCGCTCCTTGCTGCGAAAAGTTGCACAGCTGACCCGGGTGGTGGCACATCTAAACTCAAAGTCTGATGAGCAAGAGCTAGAGTATGCCCGTTTCCAGGAGGAAACAGAAGAGAAGATCCGGCGATTGTACGAAGACGCAGCTCAAAACATGGAAGCTGAAATTGTCAAGTTGCAAGAGCTTGCAAGCAAAACATGTTTGCAGGAGAACTCTGCACGATTGGAAAGCCTTTTCGGTCAGCAGAGGGCCGAGTTCGCAACAGAAGTGCGCACATTGAAGGCCACAGCTCGGGGCAACGAGGCATGTGTCGTGGCAAAAGCCGACTCCGACCTTGGCGTTTCCATCCAGCAGGTCAAGGACATATCGCATCGGGTCCGCCAAAGTGTGGATGCCTACAGGGCAACTTTGCAGCGCCGCGCAGCGGAGATGGAGCAACGAAACGAGGCAAGCGAGAGAACAGAGAACATAGAGAGAGAGAGAGAGAGTAAGCGAAAAGGGTGCGCGATAAGCTTTTTGCGTTTGGGCTTGTAGCGGCCGGCTGAGCTCTCAACAGTGACAGTGTTGTATGACTTTTCAGAGAGCTGTTTGTGCGTGCAAGGGTTCCGCTTGTTTAGCCAGAGCTTGCTGCACCAGCAGGGCAGGAAGTGTATAGTGGTGCACTTGACTTGCGCAATTGGGCAGGCCCTCCGACAGGACCGTGCAGCGGAGCTGAAGTGTGTGGAAGGTGACTTCCAACAAAGGCTCGAGGAGCTGGCGGGCTCCCTGCGCCGCGAAGCGGACCACGTGAGGCAGTCCACTGAACAGCAGCTGCTGCACATGAAGCGGATGCACGAGGCGGAGACGAGTTCCTGGCAAATGCAAGTCTTGCAGAAACGCCATGAACGGATCCAGCGTTTGGAGCAGGAGTTTGGGGAGGAGCGACGTATGCGTGAGCAGTCAGCGACCAACCTGGACTACGAGCTCACGCAGCAGCGCAAGGACCTCATGGACTTCAAGGCCTCGTATCGGCTTGTCGACCAACAGGTGGAAGCCATGAGAGGCACCTTGGAGGAGATGCGCCGACGCGTGCGCACTGCTCAGTCGGATGCGGACACCGCCCGCGAGGAGGCATCTCAAGCAGAGGCCGATACGCAATCCTTGGCGAAGGAAATCGCTTTGCTGGAGGTGCGGAGGCGAGCTGCTGGTGCCCCGGCTGGAGTCATAGCGCCTCCAAGCTCATCTCCTGCTCCCAGACCACCTTTGAGGCCTGCGAATGGGCTGACGGATGAGCTCAGGGAGTCCATTGCCAGCGCAAAGCAGCTGGAAGCTGAGGTGGCACAAACAGATGCGCAAATGGGCGACCTGGAGGATGAGCTAGCAGAGAAAGACAAGACCGTTGAAATCCTCGAAGTTGAGACAGAAGAGGAGCGGTTAAGGACTCACCGTCTTCAAGCACGCATCCTGCAGTTGGAGGCTGCTCTGAAGACTTGAGCGACCTTGCGGACCTTGCGTCTTGGGCTTTTGATGTCTGCGTTCCACTTCCGGGGTGTGCGCAGCAGTAGTCGTCCCTCCTGTGGAGGAGGCTGTCTCACCAATTCATGGCAACCGTCTCGCCGCAAGGAGGTTTGCAGGCCACGCGCAACAGAAGGCTGCCCTAGAGCGAAAAGTCCAAGAAAGGGGCAGGTCGTCTTCCTCGGAGTACTGTCGTCACTGTATGCCTCCGCGCACCATTCAGGATCCACAATAATGGACATGCGAATGCTGTGCAAACGAGGTCTTGAGGTTGGAGTCTTGGAAGGCACGCATGTAGGCTGGGGTCCTCTACCGCATGATCCGGTCAGAGGTTATGTTGAGACATGTCGAGGCGCATCCTGTTTCACACCCTGTGTATTTTGCACTCTTCAGCTCTACCAGTATCTGCAAGCATGTGGCAGTCCTACTGCCTGGCAGCTGCATTCGAAGCAAAGCCTTTCGCATTATGCAGGACTGCGAGTGGGTCACTTACCCTGGCTGGCGCATGGTCACGCCTTCGGCTAAGGCGAACGCTCTTGTGCAACTTATGCGCTTCGCTGCCCCCCCAAGCGAATAGGTTTCTCTGGATCCTAAGGCCTGATGGTGACTTTGAATTCAAAGTCGGCCAGGAGCTCAGGGGCATAGCTTTGGGACAGCATCGATTCCAGGAGTGGAGCTGCTCGGGTTCACTTGCTTGACAAGGAGATGAGGGTCACTGGGAAGATGTTGTAGCACGTTTCGGCACGGCAAACGCCATCAAGGTGCGCTCCCCCTGACTGAAGGGCAGTTTTGCAGCTTGACTTGTTCCGAGCTGCCCCCCACCCTTTCCGTTGCCACTTACTCTCACCAGTTTGCCATGTCGGGCCACTTGAAGCCATGCCCTCGGCTCCTGATTCTGGGTATTTTTCTTGTGGCATGCAGGGGTGCCAGCGAGCTGAACCTTGCGTACTGTTTCTATTTGTTGCTGTCTTCAAACTCTCGAACGTACACGGGCATTGCCAAAGACCCGGAGCGCCGTCTGGCCCAGCATAATGGTCACCTAAAAGGTGGCGCAGCATCTACACGCTCTGGAAGACCTTGGCAAATCGCTCTTTTGGTGGAGGGCTTCACCAGCAGGAGCGACGCGCTGCGGTTTGAATACGACGCGCGACGCTCAGCAACCGGGCGCAAGGTGATTGGTTTTACAAGGCGCTGCGACAACCTCCGCCGATTGCTAGACTCTGAGCAATGGATTCGCTTTGAGCTGAATGCCTCGTGGTATGCAGGAGGGCCATGTGCATCTCACGTTCAATCCTGAGATCACCCGTGTATGTGAGACTCACGCCCATCACCCGGCTCCGACATGGATCTTGCCATCCGCTGTGAGCGCACACGATGTGGAGAGCTCAAAGGTGGCTCGGCCAGATGGAAAAGTTGCCTCTGCACGACCCATGTCAGCTCAGTGTTGCTCCATCATTTGCCCCTGCAAGCAGGGCAGCCTCATGCATGGAATTCAGAAGCCAACTGTTCATTGCAGAATATACTATAGTATAGTATACTATAGTAGCTTGTGCTATATTATACTTCAGTATAGTATAAATTTCTATAATATACTATATAGTATTTTCTAGTATAATATCATACAGTATACTATACTATGTTATTACAAAATGTGGAGAAGCTGCATCAAAACAGGGTTGCGGCTTACAACATCGAGTGGCCCAGCGTCAGGAATGGAGGGACCTCATGGCAATCGCCAAACCTTTGGGGGAGATTTCCAAGAGCATTCCGGCTGCGGCTCTGCGGGGAGATCTTGGAGCTGTCACGGCCTGAATCTTGAGGTCTGTTTGTTGCTGGATTGCTATGGGAAGCTCTTCGTCTGTAAGAAACACCGAGTCTAGCTTGCGAGGGCGCATGTACATGTATGCATACGTATATATATATATGTCCTATATGTGCAGTTATATTATACGCATGTATGTGTGTGTTTCGAGCTTGAGTGAGTAAGTTGCAGGGTGCTGGCAATTGAGGTGCAGACGCACTGGCCTCGAGCAGAGTGTTTAGAGTGAAGCACAGGCCAGCTTGACCCCATGAGAGCTTGATCAGCTGTGAATAGCATCGCGAGCGCTACTGGCCTTTGGCTAGAAGTCCGTCAGCGGTGGCTGATCATGTTTGGCGAGATGCTTAGGCTTCAGCGTTTCTTCTCTCGGCTTCCGGCTTTGCTTCTGAACGGTCCCAAATTTCAGGCGAGCGTCTGAGACTTTCTTGAGCTTCTTGAGGGTGATGAAGCATTTTGGAGTATGGACGTTTTATTGCTAGTGAAAGCTTCAGCCAAGCCTCACGTGCGCGGAGGCTCCTTTTTCGGATCTGCTCCGCGACGCAGGCACTGTGTGCTACTCACATTCCTCAAGAGAAAGGCGGCAGTGCTTTGGCTGGGCAAGGTGTGCAAGATCCCTTCTTGAAAAAATGGATGGATTACATCTGCTTCGTGCTCCAGGCGTCGCCCCCTTACCGATTTCCTTCCCACGTGCGGCTGCAAGGAATCTCGCAAACGAGTCCCCTTCCAGCACAGGCTTTGCCAGCTGATACTCATCCCAGCGCACCTGTGGCATACATGATCTCGGACATGTATGAGCCCAGGCCTTGGGTGGTCATCCCAAAAGAGTAGCATGTAGCTGTGTGAGACGCAAGCAGTGCTGCATGCGATTGGTCCTTGACATGCAGAGGGCCGTCGCTGGCCTTTGGAGGCAGAGCAGGATAGTGAACATGCGTTTAGCAGGCCTCCGTGGCTTGCCAAATCACTGTTTTCAGCCATCATTGCACAACAAGTGTCAATTCTAACACCGTCCCAGTTCAACAAATGCACCGGAAGCCAAGACCTTGCGCAAACGAGGCAGGGAGCTTTCCTGGACTATCCCAAGGGCGGAATGGGGGCTGGAAGCTCAATTGGCTTCGAAGTTGTTTTTGTTATTCTCCGTTTATCGACTCCAGAGGCTTTGATTAATGCTCTTGAGCGGGGTGTGACCAAGAATGGCGGCCGGATCCGTCGGGGGCCTCAGGTCAACGGGGCTTCCGTTGTGACGAGTGCCATTTTGATCAGGGTACAATGCCCACGTCGAAGAGATCCTTGCAACCCAGGGCAAGGCAGGTACTATCCTGGCTGCGAGTCCTCAACGCAGTTCCTGCTTTCTTAGTTGCTCATAGCTGAATCTGCCAAACAGCTGGGCCTCAAAGCCAACGTCCAGCTTGCTCACTAAGCGGACGCCCATCTGCTTGATCGTGTTGTACTTCAAGTCACAAAAACGACAGCAAAGGCACATTCTGGCTGCTGTGTTTCTGCGCGCTCACCGCGGGTCCTCTGGGGTAGGCTGGCACAGTGAACGGACAGCCCTCCGAAAACAGGCAATGCTCGACCTAGTGACTATGCCCCATGTTTTCTGATCGTTGGCTATGGGCACATCGCAAGAAGGATGCTGTAATCCTGTGGGGAAGGGTCGCTGGCAGCAAGAGAAGCAAGTCCCATGCTGGAAGCGCAAAGAAGTGGGTTTCACAAACTGACATGGCACACCAACAGCGGCCAGCATCAGCAAATCACAGAGACAGCTGCCCTGAACGGGGCGGAAGACGTCTGCTGTACACTATGGAGCTTAAACAAAACTTTCTCAGAATGTATTGGTCTGTGGAGTTGCGTGAAGTTGCCGAGGTAGTTTCTGGAGACTTTCCAAGATTGCAGCCGCATGCATGACCGGTCCTTGAAGTTGGCAAGCCCGACTTGGTAGGATGTGGTAGCAATTCAAAAGCCAAAGCCGGCAGCACAAGAGTGCTTATGGCGTTCGACATTTCATGCTTGACCTTTCTGAAGGCCAAAGGCGTTCGCTTGCGAAGTGGAGAGCAGGATGCCTAGAAGAGCTTTGTTGGCAAAGGCTCCTTACACTTGTGGAACTTGAGGCGAATCTCAGCGAGAGAGGCTGAACAAGAATGACTTGCTAAATCTACAGCAAATCCAGCATAAGGAAGCATTCATGGTAGTGATTAGTGCTGTCAGGCTGTCATTAGCAATGCGAGCGTTTGGGACACGGCCGGGCTATTGCCTGCCAGATGCCAAGACCCTGAAAAGCTTCTTGTCACTGCAAGCTTGAAAGTAGAAGAAGGTGGAACTCCATCAACATTTTGCAAGGTAGGCATGCGCTGGCCAATTCCAAAGCCAGCGGAGTGTGCATCCTCAGCAAGCACATGGGTGACTGCAAGTGTTCGAAAGTTGCCAGGAAAGTGCCAGCGCTCACATGAGGTGTGGCTCCTTCATGCATCTCCACTTAGGCTTGAGAGCTGAGGCCTGCTTCACATTTCAACGTTGCACTTGTGAAGACTAGTGAGCCTCAGCCAGGGGCTTCCGGCTGACATGCCGCTCCATTACAGCGTAATCAGGGACTGGAAGGAGTCAAATGTCTTGCTGGATTGAGGGTCTCCATTTTGCAGCAGCCGCCCTTGCATCCTTGTGTTTGTGTCATTGCCCCTGCAAGCTGTGTTTGGCACGGCGGCTGCCGCATGCCGCGAGGAACCTATAGATGCAACGGGCAACGTCGTGATCATTAGCGTGCCAAGTGCCAGGCCCCCAGCCATAGCGCTTTCCATTTTATTTTCCATTTTCCCAATATAGCCCCACTATAGCCGAATATAACCCTAATTAACCTTAACGTAGGCCGAATATAATCCTAATATAATAGCTTGCAGCTGCAAGAAATAGTCAGGCCAAGCCTGTTCCTCTACGGATTGATGACCTGGTCTACATACTTCCCAGTGGGAACTGTGCATGTTACACATTCCCAATAGTAATAGTAATACTTCTAATAGTAACAATAATAGTAGAACTACTAGTAATAGTCATAGTAATAGTAATAGTAATACTAATCATAATGGTAATAATAATCCAAGCCATGAGATCCTTAGACTTCCAAACAACATGCTGCGAAGATGCTAGCTTGATGACCGACTGGAAGGCTAGTCCCTTTCCACTTTACGTCTATCCCAGGTGGTGAATCCAAGCCTGGCTCCTGAAGGCAGGCATTGTTGGGCTCTCTGCTCTGACTGCATTTGCATCTTTTCTATAAGACCTATAAGAACTAGGATTTCTTGACGTCCACCACATGATGCGCAACAGGACATGTATGGTCTGCATGCCAAGGTCTGCATGCTTACCTAGCCGCAACGGAGCCTTATGAGCCTGGGCTTTGGCCATCCTGTTGAGGGCTTGTGAGGGGTAATGTCTGTGGGTGGTACACTTGCATCTAAGGCTGTGGCAGGGCATGAAGCGCGGAAGTGCCGAGTTGGTGTCCCAATTTGCCGAGGGAGCATACTTGCTGAGTAAGACAAATCACCGGTACGCTTTCGTGTGCGGTTCCGCCGTTGTTATGGTCATTCCGCTGAGTTCGTCAAGGTATGAAGCCTTCAAGCGCGAAAGGGCCCAGCCACTCTTCGAGGCTGTCGAGAAGGCCGTGCAGCTCTCTTAGTGAGAGAACTGTTTATCAAATGTCTCTGGCTTGTAGTCCAGTCATACTGTAAACCTGGCGTGGTAACATGTGCTGATGTGGGCTTCAAAGTGCCTGCGCTAGGTGAAACAACAGACCCTAGATTCGTGTGTTGAGCAAGTTGTCTTGAACCTGGCGCCTGAAACAGACACCATACATTCAAATCTTAACTACTTGAGGCCCGGAGCCTGCGAGCGAATCGTGCCTTGCTTGCAAAGTGCGGATTGGATAGAAGGTTGGGCTACAAGTCGCAGCCAGCAGGGCACTTTTGGGGGCTAAGCTCAGTAGCTCTCAATTTTGAATGCTGAGGTGACTAAACTCATTCCATATGTACTTGCAGTGCGTTCTCCTTGCGCATAAACGCCTGAAAGAAGTATCAGTGGTATCTTTCTTTGTGGCAACTCTTCTTCAAGCATTCCAGGAGCTGGAACTCATTGGGTCTCCGCTGACGCATGCTCGGTTCAATCGGAGGCGGCAGAGCAGGAATTTAACTGGGAGGGTTCTGTACTGATGTGTAATTTAGGCCTTTGTGGCACTAGCAACACTAATAGCGGAACATTCTGGGGATTTGGACCAGGAGGATGCCTCCAGATCGTGTACCCTTGTTGTGGTCACTGTATTCAGGACTGTATTACTGGCGTGGTGCTTTGGAGACTTGCTCAAGTGCAGAAACGCTGCAAGCTTCTCTGTCCTTGGAGGCATAAAGGCACCTACGGGCCATTCATGCCATCGAGCGTCATAGCCTCATCACAATCTTTTGCACATGTCAGTTTCAGATACCTTTCAGATCTTGATGGCTGCTAAGGCGGGCATGCTGCCGGGATCGCCGCTCGCTGAACACGCCCAGCTCAAAACGTACTTGTTAGCTAGTAGTGAAGCATTGCATGGAGTCCAAGTCTGGGGCAGCCCTGTACATGGCAAGCATGGTGGTAGACTGCATTGGGGCTTTGCGACATTCCATGCGAAAGACTTCTGGAAACTTTTCTATTCGGATCTAACCGGGCCATAGCATGCCAAGCTGTTCACATGGTGTACCTTCCTGATCTTGTCGGATCAACGCCAAAGCCCAAGGTCTACACCAGTGGACGGCCTGCTGTGCTGCAGTCGCCTCAGTCTCTCCGGAGCCATGATAGCAATGCCTTGCATGCTGAGGCGGGGATAGCACTTTTCCAGGCATTGGAGTCCCTGTCCATTCCCCAGCTGGGATGCGCGCGTGGCATTTGTATCTGTCAGATGGCTGCAGCTCAGAATTCATGTTGTGCTAGGGTCATGCATGTGTCCTTCCATCGCTTGCTCGCACATGCCGTGCTATTAGACTTATCAGACCCAAACACCCTCAGGCTGCTGTCGCCAGCAGCCGCCTAAGCTTTGGGCAGCATGCGATGGCTTTATAATGATGAGGCTGGCGAGGCAAGATATCTGGAAGTTCTCACGTATCTAATTCTCACGGCAGAAGAATTCTCACGGCAGAATAGGGAGCCCCTCTGGGATGTCCCGTGAACATTCCGGGAACATTGTGCCTCCGCACCCAGTTCATACAGGGCATGAACACAACAAAGTTCATGACGCTAAGGTGGCTGCGCTGCCGCGAACGCCCTGCTCTCTGCCTGCTACTTAGATGTGCCATGTCGTCAAGTCAGTACTGGGTGCAGACACGCCTCATAACTCGTTGCCTTTAACATGTGGGTGTACCTCAAAGTCGGGTTGGTTGAAAACACGCCGCATACTTGGTGGTTTGGCGCATACTGACATTGTCCCCGAACATGTTAAAGTTCGAGCTGTATAGGTACAGCATATAAAGCGCGATCCCCCTTCAACACTCCCAATCTCGGCAGGTCGAGGAGCACCTGGAGGCACCCTCCAGCCCAGAGCAGTAATTGGCGTTGCTTTGAATCAAATGCAGACTCATCGATCTGGCGGTGCATATTGTTCTCATGCAATCGTTTCCTTTTCGTCAACATTTTGCACATTTTTGCTTGTGCTGCATATGTCTGTACGAAGACTACGGTTGCTTTTGCACCCATGCTGTTGGTGACAACCCACAAGTAACAGGAGTACCACCAGCGTTGCGACGAGCCGCCTTCATCGGCTTGTTGTTGTTATGGTGCTTGGTCTCTCTCATCAGCACCTTCTTTCTATGATGTTTTTCCCTGCCAAGCCAGCCACGGTCCTAACATCCGTTTGAAAGCGCCACCGTCACTCTGATGGGCATGATGGCTACTCTTGCGGGATGATCTCGGAACGGATTCTGCAGAAACGACAGAAGTCATCCGTAAACTCGCCCCACATCCTTGGTCCTGGGGTTCCTCAAAAGGCAGCCCCATTTTGAGAAACTCCCCAAACCCTACATACACATCAGCATGCAAATGCGTATAGATAGATAGATGTCTACATGTACACACGTATCCCCTAAGATTCTTGGTTTTCAAGGGTTTCCCTGTTGCGAGAAACTCCAATGTTGACCACGGAGCCATGCCAGGCCCTGGAGGCGATGCGAATACCATGATCCTTGACATGTGGATTGGTGCTGGGCACCGGGCCTGTTTCTACGAAGCGGGCAACAAAAAATGGTAAGCAGAACAATCACCTTGGGAAGTAACAGGCAGCAACAGCGACATTCCAAGAATCATTCGGCCACATCCGGCAGTTCATATTTCAATCATCGGCCTACCCAAGGCACGGTCCTTGCCTGGCTGTAGTTTTTCCAGGCCTGAGTCAGTCTCACGCAAACTGGGACGTGGCAAAGAAGAAAAGAGGACTTGCACGAGCACTGTGTCGGCAACCCTGATTACTGCTAAGAACGCACAAGCTGATCCTGCTTCTCACGGCTGAAATTTTCTATCTGAGAATGATGCTGCAAAATGCAAGCTGGAGCGAGCTTGTGTCATAAATGCATTCCGCAGACGAGGGCTGAGGAAATCGGTAGCCGTGCCGTCTCAGCCAGCGTGCCTTGCAAGCGTCTTGGCTTCCTAGTCGGGTTGGCTCTTGCATGGGCATGGTGTGCTTGGTACCGCGTGCTTGAGCTCATAGCAGATACATGTCAGTACTTCATCACTCTGGCAGCGTGCACGTTGTAAACTACACCTCCTGCTCAATCAAACTTGGATCACTCCTGACGCGCCTACCCGAGGACATGGCGATGTTTCAGGTGCCCACAAGACCAGCCGGTCATGTACACGTAGAGTTCAAGGCTGGGCGCATGGACTGGGATGGAAGAATGGTGACTGCAGACAAGCGAAAGGGCAAGATTCTGCTGTACACCTCCGAAGAGGACCAGTTGACGCATTTTCAGTGGATGGATAGAGACAAGAACGAAGTGGTCACAGACTTGATCGTCATCAATGATGCCTATATGGAGAAAGTTACGAAGTGTACATCAGGCCGCGCCTACATCCTTCGCTTCACCTCCTCCGATAAGAAGATGTTCTTTTGGATGCAGGAGCCAAGCGAGGACAAGGACGCGGAAAACATAAAGAAATTCAATGAGGCCATCGGTGCCACAATCCCCGAGAAGACAGAGAAAAAGCCAGCTGCAGAAGCTGCCCCCGCGGAAGCGCCTGCGGAAACGGCCCCCAGTGATCCTAGTGGTGATGCGGGGGGTGATCCTCCTAGTGACCCGAGTGCTCCTGCACCTGGTCCAGCCTAGTATCAGAGCGTGATAGTTGTGATCAGACAGACGAGCTGTTGGAGAGCAAAATCTTTCAGATGAAGGGGTACAGGCACCAAGCATGATGCGCAAGAGCCTGCTCCAAAGCTTCATGTGGCTGATCTCCTCTGGCTCACCGGTCAAGGTCTCGTGAGGTAATCAGATGTTAAGTCCACATCGGCTAGAGCAGGCAACGCAGGCGGACTTGGCCAGGGCATTCAGGACGTTGAAGCACAAAGACCGTAGTAGGACCTTCTTCAGCAAGTGCTCCCTTCCCATCACTTGGTCATTTTGATTTTCTTTGTCTATGGAAGACTCACAGGTGGGTGCATACCACAACTGTTTGCGCTCAGGGTCCTGTTGAGCATTTCCTGCAACAGCGTAGCACAGAAAAATGCCTGGCAGAGCCTCTGGGCCGAACAACAAATTATAGGCCCATGGAGGTGCGAGTGAATGGTCTGGCGGGGCAGCTTTGTTGCATGCGCGGGCAGAGTGACTGGCGCGCCGGTGATGTGAAGCGCGCCCTCGAGGCGATCAGCTTTGATTCGTGGCACACAATCCCGAGGAATAGGACAGGATCCTCAAGACTTGCTGTGACCCATGCAGCCTACCTGCAGGTGAAAATTGGAGTCTGCTCCTCAGACAGGGGGCGGGATGCAGAGAGCAGGGGAAAGCGCAGAGAATGTATGTTGATATATGATGATGACGTTCGTGTAATTGTCAGGTTCATAGAGATGAGCAAAGGCGCGCACTCCTTGTAATTGTAAAGCGTAGCACGCTTGAGTGGCCAGCAGCTTGTGATACGTTTGCAGCGAGTCTCTCCTGGCTCCCCCGGAGGCTTATCCTTGGCTGCAGCGAGCTGCAAGATGACGACCTGTTGCAAGATCCGGGTTGTGTGCGTGACGTGGATTTGACCTTGGTCCGAAGGTCAGCGGCTCATGCAGAGCTACTGCGGCTTGTCCGCCTTGGCACCCAGACCCTCAGCCGAAAGTGGCTGGCCCGCATGCCTGAGGTCGTCCGAGGCGATTCTGAGATAGTTCGAGAGGTCTTGCGGAGGGATGGTGTGGCGCTGGAGCATGCCACGCTCGAGCTGAAGGCAAACCCTGAGATAGTCTTGGAAGCAGTGCGCCGCAGTGGCTTCGCTTTAGAGTATGCAGCAGCCCAGCTGCGCAACGACCGCGTCTTTGTTCTGAAAGCCGTTCAGGTGAATGGCTTTGCGCTTGCGCGAGCATCAGAAGCACTGCAGGCTGATCCCGAGGTTGTTCTCGCAGCTATCAGAGAAGAGGGTGCAGCGTTTGAGTATGCAGCAGATGAGCTGAAGAGTGATGCTGACTTTGCTCTGGATATTGTCGCAACGGGAAGCACTGGAGTGCTAGAACACATTGCGCAAGACCTTTGGGAAGACCCTTGCTTTGTGCTGGAAGCTGTGAAAAGGCTGCCCTCAGCTTTGGAATACGCACAAGCGGATATCCGGGGTGAGCCAACTTTTGTTTTGGAGGCCGTGAGCAAGAAGCCTGAGGCGCTACCTTTCGCAGCGAAGGATCTGCTCGAGGACCCGGCATTCCTTCTGAGAGCGATCGCACGGAATCCGGCTGCCCTTGCGCACGTGGATGCGGACTTGGCTGTGGAACCTGCATTTGTGTTGACGGCACTGCGGTGCAACGGTGAGGCCTTACGCTTCGTGGTCCCAACCCTCTTGAAAGAAGCCCGCTTCGCCCAGCAGGCTCTTGCGGCGGCTGGGCCCAAGGCCTTGAGTGGCATGCCCGATGATTTTTGGCAGGACAGAGATCTTGCTCAGGCTGCTTTGCGCTCTGACGAAGCCTCCGTACAAAGGGTGCCCAAGAAATTCTGGGCAGACAGAGACTTCGTTCTCAAAGCAGTTCGCTGGCAGCCATCGATACTGAACATGATTGAACCGAACCTGTTGAAAGACAAGGCTTTCATTCTTGCAGCCGTGCAACGCAACTCCCTGTGCATCCGATACGTGTCTGAGGAGTTGCTGAGAAACCAAAGCTTTGTATTAGAAGCCGTGGAGGTGCATGGTTCTGTGCTCAAGCATCTTCCAAGTGAGATGCGAACAGACCGGTCGTTGGTCCTGGCTGCTGTCCTCAAGACCGGTTTTGTGCTGGGCTTCGCAGATGACGAGCTTCGTGCAGACAAGGGCTTTGTTCTGGATGCCGTCAAAACGAATGGCTACTGCTTGATCGGTGCCCCTGATGCAATGCGGCAGGATCGGGATGTCGTGCTTGCCGCTGTCAGGCAGCAGGGGCAAGCGCTGGAGTTTGCAGCAGCTGAGCTTCGTGCTGACGCCGAGATTGCACTTGCAGCCACTGAGACCTGCCCAGGTCCGTTTGTGCATGTGGAAGCCTGCCTCTGGGCAGACCGAGACTTCGTACTGAAGGCTGCCAAACGGCATGGCTGTGCCCTGAAACATGCGGATGACACATTGCGACGAAATCGAATGTTCGTGCTTGCGGCCTTCGAGCTGAATCCCGAGTGTCTCTGCTACGCGCATCCAGAGCTTCAGTCTGATAGGGGATTTATGATTGAATGCTTGATGCTCAACCCAGAAGCTCTACCCTTTGTGCCTGCGGCCATGCGCATTGATGTTTCGTTTGCGGCCGCGGCTGCAGCAACAAATCCGCCTGCATCGCAGACCGCGACCTTGTCTTGTGACGCACCCTCCCCGTCCTGGTGACCATAGCTCTAGCTGCCTCTAGCAGAGAGGTGAGCGTGGCCGGAGGCAAGTCAAAAGAAGCCTACATGAAACTTGCTGCACTGGGCGGAGACGGCAGTGGGAAGGTGCTGTTTGGCAGTTTTCATTCCAACCAAGTGCAAGCTCAGGATTTTGAGCAATGTGCAATTTCTGGACTGCAGATGAAGAGTGAAGAGGTGATATTTACGGTACAGTACACAGTGTTTTGTGAATCCCTGGCCCAAGGATTGAAGTTGTGCTGTGCGTTTGCGGGCTAGTGTGTGGTTGCTTAGCTTTTTTTTTCTGAGAAGCATAGAACAAATAAAGGTATGTATCCGAGCTTGTTTCTGAAGCTGCGCTCGAAGGCCAAAATTAAGGGGTATCCTTCCTTTATGTCATCCGGCTATAGCCGTGCTGATGCCCTCAGATTGTCAGCGGGGGGCTTGTATCATAAAGCAGCTTTGAACCGTCATTTCAAATTAAAGATGGCGAAGAAAAGACGTTCACCATTGTGACATGTCCGGAAGCCATAATTCGCGATGGCGGCGAGCTCTGCAGAGCGAGCTGCGTTGGAGGCCAGAAGCTCTGCGGAGCGCAATGCTGTGTGTAGTTTAACGGGTTTTGCGCCTGACTGAGGTTTTGAAGGCGGAGGATGTGGAGGCTGCGCGAGGATGGGCTGAGAATGCACCACAGGCCAGCTCTACAAACCCGTCTGCGAGGAGCGGCACACCTTCCGTGCCGAACTCCTGGGCGAGGTCACCAAGCTGGTCCGCGGACTGCGTCCCAGGCAATCCTCTCTTGGCAGTGTTCGGCTGCATGCCCTTTTGCAAGCCTCGAATGTCACCAAGTCCTAGCCAAGATTTTTAGCTTGATGCCGGTCCGAAAGTCGCTGAAAGGCCCTCTCACGCTCAAGAGAAAAGTCTTATACAGTATTTCGTGAACTTGTTTCGTTTCGAGGTGGTCAGGCTTTCTCAGCGACTGCGTGCTGAAGCAAATGCCTGCGGCGTTGCGCATGGCCCAGCAAGTAAGTGGGTACAGGGGCTGACTGGGGCAATACAGACAAGTTCAACCATTCAGGAATGTGTTGGATCTTGCGTGAAGAAATTGAGCATGGCGCCTACAGCTTGAATGTTGCGATAAGCGCAATACTGTTATCCATTGATCGTTATTGATAAGACAAGGCATGTTATTTAAACTGATACGCTCGCACTGCTTCACGGAATGAAGTGTCGAAGGAATGAGCGAAGGAAATGAGCTCTCGGAGCCCAGGCATTGGAGGAACCCTGTTCCACAGCTTTGTCCTAACAAGTCTGAACTTTGCAAGAAGAGGTGGCGCGTACAGTGCAATTTCAGGACAGACTTGCAGCAGGATGAACAGAAACTTCTTCAGCTGAAGGCTCAAGCAACATTGCATCAGTTTGCCTGCGTGCTACGTGTGCTTCTGCTTCATTCCCCAACTACCCCAAAATAGTTTCTGTGTCACGGAGACCTGACCAGTCGCGCAGGTCCAGCAAGGCATGGATATGATTGGATATGCATGGAAAGCCTTTGTGATCTGATTTGGTCTGGCTAAAGTGGCTGCAGTCCAGGCATCAGAGCATCACGGACAGGTGACCTGTAAATGGCAGCAACTAGTATCATGAGACCGCTGTATGTAAGACTGCCGTGCTCAAGTAAAGCAGGCATTGCTCATAGCAGTCAAATTTTGATTCGAACAAATTTGAGCTCTGCGGTTTCCTCGACAGTCCTAAAATGATAGTCTCGTTGGAATTTACCCATTTGCCTCCACTTGGACACATACAAATTCGTAGACTGCCCCAGATCCTATCCAGATTTGCATATCAAAATTGAGGCTGATTAGAACAAACTGGCTATGACGGATAATTGCATGGACCCCCTCATTCCTGAGCTCCAGCCCGCAATTGATATCATGATGGGATGATTTGAAAAAATCATCAGGGCATTTTTGAGAAAATGGGATTGGTGGGAACCTGTACTTAAGTTTTTGGCAGCTTTTTTAAGGTAAGATGCTTCTGGGGGCACGTGTGGCCCTGACCAACTTGCCCTCGCGGCCGCATTTGAACGGCTGCGGGGGCGAGGTGCAGCCGTACGAGGGTAGCCCGAAGAGGCTCCCCGTACGGTTGCACACTGGTCAGGTGCTTCACGTGCTCCCGGAGCATCTGATGGCCACTGGCCCAGTAGCCGTGCCATGCTCGGCTCTGCCGCCGCGTGTGGTGGACGCCTGCGCTGGAGAGCTGGCAAGGGCTTTCTCTGTCGCCGAGGTTTTCCTCTGCTGCTGCTCCTGCTGCTGTTTCTTCTTCTTGTTGTTGTTGTCGTCGTCATCGTCGTTGTTGTTGGTTGTTGTTGTTGTTGTTGTTGCTGCTGCTGCCGCCGTCGCTGGTCGCTGGTCCCGACATGTATTACATAAATCATTCGTATTACTTCAGTGGTGGTAGCAGCAGCAGCAGTAGCAGCAGTAGCAGTAGCAGTAGCAGTAGCAGTAGTAGGAGCAGCAGTAGTAGGAGTAGTAGTAGTAGTAGTAGTAGTAGGTGGTAGTAGTAGGTGGTAGTAGTGGTGGGCGTAGTAGAAATAGTAGCAGCAGCAGCAGCAGCAGCAGCAGCAGCAGCAGCAGCAGCACGCCACCACCACCCCCGCCGCCGCCAACGACGCCAACGCCAACGCCAACACCACCACCACCGCCGCCGCCGCCCCCGACAAAAACAATAGCAACAACAACACCAACCACAACAACAACAGCAGCAGCAACAACAACAACAACAACAATAAAGCCAAGCAACCAGCCAACCGGCGGGCCGACCGATCGACCAACTGACCGACCGACCGGCCGACCGACCCACAAACAAACAAACAGGCAAACAAACAAACAAACAAACAAACAAACAAACAAACAAACAAACAAACAAACCAAACCAAACAAACAAACAAACAAACAAACACACACGCAAACAACAAACACGCAAACAACATACAAACAACAACAAACAACAAATAACAGTAACAAACAATCAACAACCAACAACAAACAAGCAACAAGCAGCAGCAGCAGCAGCAGCAGCAGCAGCAGCAGCAGCAGCAGCATCAGCAGCAGCAGCAGCAGCAACAACAACAACATCAGCAACAGCAACAGCAACAGCAACAGCAACAACAATAACAACACAACAAAAACAACAACAGCAAACGACGACAACAACAACAACAACAACAACAGCAGCAACAACAACAACAATAACAATCCATAAACCACAGCCGACCACCACCACCGCCGCCGCCCCCACCGCCACCACCACCACCGCCGCCCCCGCCACCACCACCACCACCACCACCACCACCACCACCACCACCACCACCAAGAAGAAGAAGAAGACTAACACCAGCAGCAGCAGCAGCAGCAACAGCAGCAACAACAACAACAACAACAAACAACAACAAATAGCAACAAACCACAATAAACAGCAACACTTGTTGCTGGAGCATGCGACATTGATCTGGCGCTTTAGATAAACCCAGACAAACAACTTGACCCTGCGAGGAAGTGGCGACGGAGTGGTGCAGGGGGGCGGACCTCTGCTGCGTCGTGCAGGCGGTGGGAGGCGTGGCGGCCAAACCACCGCGACGTCGGAAGAGGCTACGCTGTTCAGCTTCCTCTGATATCCTCTGATCAAATGGATAAACCTCCATGTGATCCACGCCAGATGGTCCTTTTGCTCGTTTTTGCGACAGAAGGGCAAAGTAGACACTGTGGCTAGCATGTTGCAAAAACTTGACGAGGGTAGTGCAAAAAGCAAGCGAGGCAAACCATAGTGCGTTTGCTCAGGCTGTATTGGTTGGCTTTAAGAAGAATCTAGCAGTATAGAGCACGTGTGCTGGAGACATGTTGTGACATCAAGGGTTGCGTGTGCATGAATGCCGGCTGCGGTCTTTTTTTTGTGAAGGCCTGCTGTGGCAGCTTTGGAGGCAGATCCCTGCGCGCAGCTTCTGGCGCGCTGTCTCCGGCCGAGGGCGACAGCCCCGGTTGCAGTGTTCCTGCCAGGCCTGCCCCCAAGCCTAAGAGCCCAGTACCCCTAGGCAGCCGGGTGGGGGTTAATGCAGGATATGGGCCTTGCAGGCCGGGTGGGTGACGGATCACCTATTTCGGCACGGGGCCGCAGCACCGATGCCAGGGTGCGGGCAGCCTCTTGGCCGCCTGCACTGAAGTTGCGGCCTGGGGCGTTGGGGTGGCCACATTGCACCTGGAAACTTGGACGCCG